TATAAGACAGAAATAAGTTTGATTTTCATTTGTGAATTACTATTGTTATTATTTTTAATGATGTACTACTTGTTGTACCACATCCTGTAACAAGGAATAATTATATTGTATTTCAATGAATAAAGATACGATTGCATCGACCGATACAAATCTTACGAATAAATTTTTCTTAAAAGCATAAGATTCGCTGTTGTTTCATAAGTACTTTATCTTATCCGTTCACTGTTAATATTCCCGATAAATCTAAACAATTTTTTTATTATTATTATTAATGTCAGACCTTGAGCATATTTAATCGTCTCCCTTGGATTACCGCCCAATAATGCCGTACCTTCGAAAACAATTATCATATTGATTTATCGATCATACGCACATGCATAGTGTCTCTACAGTGCGATGTTATTTAGTAATAAATAAATAAATAAATAAATAAATAAATAAATAAGGAATAAGGCAAAGGAAATCAATCGGCATTGCATGGCTCAAATATTGCTGCAAAATTCTTCGGCAATTCATGCAATTATATGTAGTAGTATGCACGAAAGCCCGTTTTTATATTCTAATGACAGAACAGTATCGGGTAGCTGTAGCAGCGAAGAACGCGTAATTTGTATAAAATTTGTGCAATCTAATCTATAAATCTATCAAATCTATAGTAAATTTTATTATTATCGCTCGAGTGATCTTTTCATTGTAATAATGAGTGGGTAAACGATCATTTGGTAAACAATCAATGAATTCTCGACTGATAAATAGCCACTCATACTTTATAGTATTTCACATTTGATGGCCGACAATTTCAATATTTAGTTTGCCACATACATTCTTATTTCTATTAATATTCATAATAATCTGTGTTTCGTTTAAGCTTTCGCATTCTTTCGTGATTTGAAATTTTAGAAAACCGAACCAACACTTTAAAAATAAAATATTTTCACTTGCGAACGTCGTGAGAGTATTATTATCTTCGTTATCTCTCTCGTTAAATTCACAATCAGTACTAATTTTTATATTACCTCTAACTAAAACAGATAAAAAAATGATCTTTAAAAGTCATTATAAACGATGTATATGCTAATAATAAATAAATACGACGATAATTCCCTTATCTTTATAAATTTATTGATGAACAAACTTTTGTAATTGTTATTTAGTAAATAATGCTTTTACGCTTTTTAATTTTAAGTATAAATATTTCACCAACAAGAATAAATTGCAAAAATTTTATACAAAAGTGAAAATATTAAAGGTTGCACGCTCGCGGCAAAGCATCTGATTATATAAAATATTATACAAATGCTAGTTTGTATAGCTTGAATATAAAATACTTTGGAATAATTTGCTTGTGCAGCGCACATTAAGAATTGCTGAAAATATGTTTTCAAACACGCGAAGAATCATGTGGCCAAAACTTTTTTACGCTAAATTAACGTGAAAATGCATTACGAAGAATTTTATTTCTGATTTAAATGTCATCGAATAAGAAACTTTAGTACAATGATTTTAAAAGGAAAGCAAATACCGTCGTGAATTTTTATGTAGAAAACGTTAAAACGCCATTTAGCTTAATGTTACTTGAGATATACATGTCACTCGATAATTAATAGAAAGTTATATTTTTTATGTAGATTATACGTTAAATCAACATGAATTTTATTTAAAAAAGAATTTGGTGGCATCATTCACTTTTAGGAATTATTCGAATGACGTGCACACGGAAATCCAAAGATAGACGTATAAAGATAATAAAAAAATAAAAATAATAAATAAATAAAATAAAAATAAATAAATAAATAATTAACGAGAATGTTTTTAACTAACTCGTCAACCATTATATAAAGCGTTGCATTGCTTACGTAAACTTATCTGTGCACATGTAGCTTAATATACAACGATGGATGATTACAATAAAGAAAAAGTACATAATTTAAGATGAGAATAAACAATTTTCATTAATGCATAAAAATTCGTAATTTTTTTTTTAATTAAATTTTTCTAATCTTTCAGGATTGTCTAAAGAATTTTTATCGCGTAGAAACATCCATGCAAATTTGCTCGAAAATGCATAGGGCACAATATGTTAGGCGGTAAACACTTTATTTTATCTTAGTCTACGGTCTAAGCTTTAATATGTAAAAATAGCGCGTGAAGTAATGTACATGAATATTCCATTCTAACTAACTTACAAGCGAGCCATTTCATAATAAAAAAAAATGTTAGTAAGTATCCTCTTGATATTTATTTATATTTTCTGTATAATATATTTAAGCCAACATTCTTAAACATATTAGAAGAATTCACAGTTATTTTACACAATAAATAATTTCTATTTGTTTTTATTTCCCTTGGTTTCCTCTTTTCTTCTTCAAGCTTTCTTTCGCGCAAAATCCAAAACATAAAACTCTTAAAGTAGCCGAACGAAGTCGCATTTTTCCAACACATACACCATAGGTACGCGTGCTCGCTTACTCGTACTTATGTAGATATTATCATATGATTTTGCGTCGCGCTAAAATGGGTGTGACGGTGGGGGGGGGGGGGGAGACGAGTCAGTCATCGATTCGCATTATCTAGAAGAAAATTAACCAATTCCGGAGCTGCCGCTCCCAAATGTCATAATACTAATGAACTGTGGGAGTGAAATGAGGGGAAAGTAACGCGACACACCGTCAGCTTACTAATTAATTATATTCGCAAAATGATTAAAGTTTTTGTCTTGGGAATGTGCGATAATTATTTCTCGCGATCTTTTCCCAAACCAAAGTAGCGAATATTTACTCGATACAATTATTGACTTTTATAAATGGCCGAGCAAACGGCTTTGGACGGCAAACTATTGTAATAATATTTAAAATACAATAACCCGTAGTGCATAAATACCTTCTTATAAATTAATCACTGTTTAGTCATTTTAAGTAAAATGTCGCTGCTCGTTGTATGCATTAATTTGCATTAACAATTTCTTCCTTCACAATTTTCTTATTCGTACACATTTTTAAGTGTATCATTAATTCAAGATTAATGAATACTATACTTTGTACTTAATACATATTATTAAAATAAAAATCAAAGTTCTTAAGTATTTTTGCAGCACACTTGGTATTTATTTATCTACTATTATTAGTTTATTTTTTTAATTTATGTTTATTCCTAAATTTTCTTATAACATAATACCGTATATATATATAATGAAATATAATGTGTCAATGTAGAAATTAAAGTTTTAAACTTACATAATAGCGGTGGTAATTTTCTTTAAAATGTATACATGTCAATACAGTCTTGGCGTTTCAATTATTTGGACGTTATCGAAACGACTTTAAAACATGCACTGTTATTTTTTATTTTTTAATCGTTAAAATACGTTTATACATCATCAAGAGTTTTATTATTTCTACACGTATTAGTATTTTACTTGATTTAGCGTAAAATATTTTGTTGTACTCAAAATTCCTTATAGATTTTATGTTTATTATCTAATTTTTATATTTTTTTTTTATGCTTACAGTTTAGTATTTTTACTTTAAAAATATCATTAAACATATAATCGAACTTAAAAATACGCTTTTTGCATACAAAATAAATAGTTACGTTGATAATTATATCGTATATTCTTGTAAGTATGACACTGTCATTTATTTGTTTTTGTTTATCTCTTCTAAAATATTTAAATTTAATAAATATAGAAATATCGATAATTCCAGGGAGAGAGAGAGAGAGAGAGAGAGAGAGAGAGAGAGAGAAACATTAAAATATAAGATAAGTTCCTTTGACATGTAAATATTCATCGACGAATTAATTAAGACGATATAATGTTCCGTACATATCGGATAATATTTATTGATAATGTACAGAGTTTCCTAAATTTCCTGAAAATTATCAATCAGGCGTTTATGTAAGTATTAATAGGTAAAATTAATTAATGAAAAGTATGTTAATAGCTTGTTTATAAATACAGAATTTTGATAAATTTATAAATATAGTAAAAGATCGATTCGAAAGGAATATATGTATATATATATATATTTTTTTTTTCTTCAATCAACGATCGAATCAATGTCAATTAGATATAGTTTGCATATAGAAGTGAAATGAAATTACAATTGCATATGCGCTTATTAAATTAGAGTTTATGGTCTGAATAACAAAAGTACAAGCGCTCATTTGCTACGAGCAAATTCAAATTGAATCCTAATGAAACGAAAAGAAATTACAACCATAACAAAATGGAAATATTGATAATGAATATTTGCCAATTTGTAGGTATACCCGAGGAGAAAGAAATTTTTACGAATCCCAGCGATATAACAATAAAACTCTCACAATGTGAACAATAAAAAACTCATTATCTAATTGTTTTCTGAGATCGTATAAGCATTCTTGTCCCACACAATCATTGGAGCAAATATCTCTAAATATTATCGATATTCATCGATTCGACATTTAAGCAAAGAAATAAAATTATCGTACTCTCTTAGGCAATTTATAGATATTTGACAATATATTTGCTGCTTAAGTATACTTTACGTTATTTGGATGAGGGCGACGCCAGTCTTTATCATACCAAGCATGGACACCATGAACATATTTGCTTTCAAGTTTTTAAGTTTTGCACGTTCGCGATAAAATTAAGTACGTGCTTGGAAAGTTAAAAGTAAATTTATATTAAATGTGATTTGAATTTGAGGAAGCGGATATTTAATAGTCGCGTGCAATTCATAATGCGAATAATGTGTTTTAATTTTCCTTTAATGCTGCTTTGGAAATTAATGATGCACGAAATCAGAGTGCGGAAAAATTTCTTTTCTTACAAAATTATTGCCCTGTATGGCGTAATTAAAGAGTACGAATACTCAGCTTTCTAATAAATTCTTCTTTTTTTTTTTCGGATACGTTGTCCCAAAGGATATCGATTGACGAATAAAATATCGAGAATGCTTATCATCCTGTGAATACTTATGCTTTGTTCTGGTAGTAACGAGAGGGTTTTAAATGTAGCGTATATTTTATGGAAATGCTTGTGTGAAAAATAGCAAAATCTGGATCGACAGCGCTAATAATTTATAATCTTTCGCAAAGAATTACAAATCTTAAAAGCCGATTGTACAAAATTGACGGGCTCTTTATAATATTATAGCCGGGTTAGAGTGGAATTTTACTTGTTATTACTTATAACAGTAATCGCATTAGTGCGTTATAATAGTCGTAATAGTCGCTGGCGTAATTTCATTTTCAACGGCCGTTCGCGAGATATTAAAATAAACGCCAACGCTGAAAAGTTCAAATCTTCGTGCATTATAAAATGCTATGCACGTTGGCGATTGCATTTTAATATAAGCGCGCAAAGACATTTATTTCCATCGTTACAATTTCACGTTATATTGAATTTTTAATTATTAGTGCAACGTTATTATTAGACTTGAATTATAATGAAAAGAAGATGAAGATAATTCATTGACGGAATGCATCATGAAACAACATCGTTATTATTCATCACCTAAGATCGGGAAATTCTTGCTTAGCGATTGTTGCGAGGGCTCGAAAAATTATTGACAAAAACAAAACAAAACTAAACAAAAAACAATAACAAAAACAAAAACAAAAACAAAAAAAGAAAGAAAAGAAAAGAAAGAAAGAAAAGAAAAGAAAAGAAGAATAAGAAGGTTTTGATCGAGGAGGATACGCGGGGTGGTCGGTCGCATCGTCTGTCTGATCCTTATCGGCTAACGCTCCTACCAACGGCAATTCGCTTATATTTCAAAAAGTCGATAATAGCCAATACAAACGGCCCCGTAAATGGCGACTTTTGTAGAAAATTAATCGCTCGTTGCTACATCTTATCCCTTGAGCAGTATTCAAGTAATTTCGTCAGAGGCGTCATTGACATGACAAAACATCGATATCGCGCGCTCCAATATCAGGAGGAAGGACACACGACGAAAGACATGGCGAGCATCTCTCTCGCCACTACTTAACACTAGGCACTTTGCCCCTACTACACATACAACATAATATCATCAATGGGAATCGTTCGTTTGCGGTTACGCACGTAATATGAAGTGACACGTGGGAAGGTCAGCGAAGCAGTTCGTAACAGCAATACAGAGAAGTATTATCGTCGGCAATTCGCGTCGCAAAACACGATAATTCAGGAAGAAATTGAATGGAGGAGGTTTGACGGAGGATTGGAGGATAGTTTTGGAGCGGTTGGAGGGGTGTAAAGAAAATGATAAGAAGCTCGTTATAATGATTATGAAGATTGAGCGAAGGAGGAAAGTCCGGCCCGAGGAGTGCGTCCAGGGATATTCGTCGACAAGTCATACGAACCTCGTCAACGTCATGTGTTTAGCCAGAGCATGAGCTTTCAAGACGGGGTGGGGCTTAATAACGCGAGGAATAATGGAAAGAAGCTCGTTTCGGTCCTGTAGCACCACGCAACCAGATTTAATAAACGTCCTCGACTAATCAACGGAGCAGAGCACGTAAACGGAGCAAATCCAGTCTTTTCGTTTGCTGCACGCGTCTCCACTGCACCGTCCGGCTACGAGCTGAAGATCCAAGTGGCCAATAATGGCTTCGAGATCCAGTTGGCCTCCAGCACCGCCGACGATGCCTCTTGATTGCTCGCTTAACCGGGAATTGATAAACAAACGGCCCTCTCGAGGCTCGCGTGCGCCCGCGAATCAGGACAATTGCTCGAGCGAGAAGGTCAATTGTATGCGAGCGGCGGTGCTGGTGGCCCCGTTCTCTATGCGCGATGTGATTCGCCGCTCGACGGGGATCTCGCTAAAAGGCCAATTAAAAGAAAGAACGAAAGAAAGAACGAGAAAGGATAAAAAGAGAAAAGAAGGAAGAAACGAAAGTGAGTGAGTGGGTAAGTGCGCGGAAGCGACGGAGGAGACTCGCTCGACGAGACGTTGTCCGGGCCTCCGTTCCAGCTCGAGGATGTTCGGCCTCGGTGAGCCTCGCTTTCCCCCCTCGCCAGCCAACAATTCGCCAAGACCCGAGGCGAGCGTTCCCCACCCCCTCGACCCCGCCGTCGCGAGCGATTAGAATGCGCGCGTGGTTCGAGACCCGGCCACTAGGGGCATCCCCGTCGACAATCGCCTCGGCATCAGACTTTGCGGCTCACGAGCATAATTTAATCGGCGACGATCTTTCGAGCTTGTGCGCGACGACGGGCGTTGAGCAGCAGCCGTCGTTCGAGCGTCGTTCAGCTGCTGCCTGTCGGAGCGGTAAGTTGCGTCTCGGTCGGAGGAGGGCGATTCTCCATCTCCTCGTCTTCGTTCTCATCTTCCTGTCCTCTGGTCCGGTGTCCTCTGTTGCGTTGATAGAGCTTCTCTGCTCCTTGCTCCTTTGGCTGGGATTTCGATGCCACTCTCTTATCGCCCGTAAATCGCGGATATCGTCTGCCACCACTTCCTCCTCGTTTACATTTCTCTGAGCGCGCGTGCCCCCGTGAGTTCGATAATACACTGGAGAAGGATTGAGAACGGCGGTGACTGTGCGAAAATCCACGGGAAAAGGAATTCGTGATGGAGGAGATACGAATCTTCTTCCTGGTCACTCATTGCTCTCCGTGTGAAATATCGATAGCGCGCGCTTACGCTCAAACTTAATAATGTCGTGAATCCTGGTGATGGGAAGTGGTGGAAGAGGTGGGCGAGGAGGGCTCCGTAAAAGTATAAAGGTATTTTTAATTCCTTGCTCTCTGTGTTTCAGCATACAGCCGTGCAATATTATAAAGGATCCAAAATGTCAGAGGAGGAGGACGATTACTCTCCTAAGGAGTCCTCTCCCGAGGAGTTCTCTCCTTTCAAGGTGAGTTTTGCTTTCGAGATATAATTTCGTAATGGCTTGGCGATCGTGTGTCACTGACACACATTTATAATTGATTTCCTTACGTGCTTAGATGTTGGCTAAATCGCTAAAATCTTTCGGTTTTTAATGACATTGTTTAGCAAATAGTTGATATTTTTATTTATGGGTAGTCTGCGTAGGCTGGGATTTGGGTTTTGGCTCTCCTCCCCCCCCCCTCACTCCCCCAGGTCCCGCACCATCCACCGTCTCACTCTCCTTCCTTAATTGTTATTTAATAGTAAGGGGCGTGAAAACCACAAGAAAATGAATCAATACGATTTTTCTCGTTTTATTTACCAATTTCTCATGGCACCTACGTAGAGTTTTGATTTAAGCCCATTCTGATGCCCTCCCTCCCGCCCGCCCGCCTTCCCGCCTTCCCGCCTTCCCGCCTGCCCACCTGCCCACCTGCCACGCCTGTGTGTGTGCCTGTGTGTGCGCTCATACACTCGGACGCGTGCTCTTGCGCCTATATGATATTGCGCGCCTATATAAACACTCTTTAAAAATAATTAATGCTTTACCTTGTCAGCATATAACATTCGTAATAATTGCTTTGAATGAAACTTCTAATTATAAAGGAAATGAAAGCCATTTCATTGGAAGTAAACGAATTACATTTAAAAATTCTACGTAGTATATTCGCATTGGCGTAGTGACGTAACCGCGCCGGTGACGCGGTAATTTCATATTTTCAAATGAAAGTGAACACACCTATTGTTTAGAGTCAGCCCATCGCAATGGTGAGGCAAACATTATTGTATATTATATTGAAAGAAGAGGAATATAAAAACTATTGTTTCATTTGGTTAAACAAGTATATCTTGCGATTGGGTTGTATTAACGCTTCTGTAAAACATTGCAAATACAAATTATTTACAATGCAATATAAACTACGTAATAAACAATTATTTAAATGACAAGATACGTTATGAAAACTTGTAAATATGATTTTTTAAGATAATATTGATTTTCAGTGTATCCCAACTGTGCACCCTGCAGATCCTTTCGATGCCAATGCAGATGCCGCAGTCCTGAGAAAGGCAATGAAGGGCTTTGGGACGGATGAGAAAGCCATCATCGATGTTCTCACAAAGCGTGGAATTGTACAGCGGTTAGAAATAGCCGAAGCCTACAAAACCATGTATGGCAAAGACCTTGTGAGTGATTTGAAGAGCGAACTAACTGGGAAACTCGAAGATCTTATCGTTGCACTCATGACACCTCTTCAACATTATTATGCCAAAGAATTGCACGATGCCATCGCTGGACTGGGTACCGATGAAGAAGTGCTGGTTGAAATTCTCTGTATTTTAAGCAACTATGGAATTAAGACGATTGCTGCATTCTATGAATATTGTGAGCACTTCAATTCTTATCGACATTTTTAATGATTGCAACGATAGCATTTAAAGTGCAAAGATTTTACATTTAAAAGACTTGTAGATTAATAATCGATTAAATAAGCGATTCAGTGTCATTTAATGTAAATTCATTGCAAAAATGTTATTTTAAGAGCAATCTTAAAGTAAAAATTGAACACTATATAAATACAACTTAGAATAATGCTTCTTCTTTTTCCCTTTTTTTCTTTTCAATTAAATTTTTCATACCGATCATTCGTTCTGTTTAATTAATAAAGAGAGAGTAAAGTTTTTATTGAATAATTGAAATTTGCCAGTTATAATTAAACTATAGGCATTAGGCATTAGTAATTTTATAATTGTGTTTAAAAAAAAAGTATGTGGGGGGGGGGGGGGTCAGAAAAAAAGAGTCACGCAAAACAAATATAATAAAGGTGTGAGTCAGACATTATTAGTTTCTTCATTCGTGCGATTAATGACGCTATGATGTCATATTTGTATGAAGTCGTCGCAAGTCGGCTTGTAAAAGAAAAAAAGCTAAGAGAACGTACGAGATGACTTAACTTCTATATCTCTATTGGCACATCACAGAAGAATATGATGTCATAGCTTTTTACGACCCAAGTATTTCGCACACGAAGAGGGGATTGCGCGCGCGCGCGAGCGCCCGCACGTGCATGCGTCAGCTTATCTACCTCTCCTTTATTACAAAGTCGCGCTCACGTTAAATTCTAACGTCCCATTGCGATAGTTACATTGACGAATGAATAATTAAAATTCTTACAGTATACGGAAGGACTTTGGAAAGTGATCTGAAGGGAGATACATCGGGCCACTTTAAACGATTACTCGTTTCCGTAATTCAAGGCAACAGAGATGAGAATCAAGGCATCGATCGTGCCCAGGCAGTTGCAGATGCTCAGGCTTTATACAGAGCTGGTAAAAATCATTGATTTATTACAGAGTTGGATAAATAGTTTTAAATTTAGAAATATATTTATCTGTTTGATCATTTGTTTGTGCCTTGGTCACTATATCCTTTATGTGTGAAATTACGCTCCTGAAATCTGCTTCAAGTATACCAAGTATAATGATTCACAATTGTATGAATCAGCAGTATGCAATCTTTAATATAATATAAAATGGCTTAATAGACAGAGTAATGTGCATTTGATGATTATCTTATTATAGGTGAAAAGCAGTGGGGCACGGATGAATCTACGTTCAATGCCATTCTTGTTACTCGTAGCACTCAGCAGCTCAGGCAAACATTTATTAAATATGAAAAGATTGCTGGACATGACATCGAGGTAGCTATTAAGAAAGAATTTTCCGGAAGTATTGAAAAGGGTTTACTTGCAACAGGTATATGCGACATCATATACTCTCTATTTCAAACTAATTGTTGCAACGTTAAAGTTTTGAAATTTCATTACAGTCAAGTGCGTAAAGTCAAAAATTGGTTTCTTTGCTGAACGACTTTATGCCAGTATGCATGGTATTGGCACCAAAGATCGTACTTTGATTCGTATCATTGTTTCACGCAGTGAAATTGATCTTGGAAATATTAAAGAAGAGTTTGAAAAACGTTATGGGAAATCACTTGAAAGCTGGATTTCCGTAAGTTCTAATATATATATATATATATATATGTAAAATTTTGTATAATATGAGAATGCTAGGGAGTATAAATTTTAATCAAATAATGTCACTCATAATTTATCACAATTATAATATAAAAAATAATAATTTTTTTAATTTAACGCATAGATTATTATTTATAAATAATCGCCGTAACTGTAGTTATTACAATAAATATTAATTGAAATTTCTTGATAAAAAATGTTATTGAAATATACAATACCATACAGATATTTCCAATAGCTTTTTAAAATCTTGGGTTTTTAAATCATTGCTACAAATAATTATTCAAAGTTTATCAATTATATTTTTCATTTATAATTATCAATATTATCGATATTATTATATTTACAAGGTGTCCTTTCTTTTCATTTCAGGGAGATACATCTGGAGACTATAAGAGAGCTCTTTTATCTCTGGTATCGTAAATCAAGAGTGTAGCTTTAAAATCGATATGCTCGATCGTTAAAATCGCTATGTTTTAAAGAATATCTGTCGTATTTGCTTTGTCACGCACTGCGCCAATTCAATCAATTTCTCAGGAAATATACTTATATTTATCAATACCTAAGCATGCTTAATGCTCAATTATAATGTGTTCAGCTCGAGTTTATAAAAATGTTATTTTTTTCACAGTAACAAATCAAATGATATATATATATATATATATATATATATAATTACAAAAAAAAAAGAAAAAAAGTATTTCATTTAAGGTAAACATAACAAAATAATTTTATTGCTGTCAATTGTGACGGATTGAAAAAAATTTTAACCAATATTTCATGCATTTCTTTTTTCTCTTTTCATTATTTAAATCTCTGAACAATAAGAGTAATTTTATTCGAAATTTATTTTTCTACTCTTGATTATTCTTCCTATTCGATAATTCATAATTTTATGATAATAAATTGTTTTAATGTATGTTACCAATCAAAAAGTTAGATTATATATGAAAATTTTGTTAAATTTAAAATATAATTTATAAAAGATACTATAAAATTATCTAATAATATAAGCAAACGTTTATTGAAAGTCTCCATAAAATATCTTACTATATACAATAGCAATAATTAAAATTAAATTAAATTTATATGATTTCAACACACGCTGTTGCTTACCGTACAACTCTTGCAGGTATATATATATATATAATATATATAATATATATAATATATATGTATGTATGTATGAAATTGTTTAAGAAACGTTTCTTATACCATCTTGAGTGATCTAAAAAAAAAAATTTAATACGTTATAAGTTAATAATTTACAATAAAAAAAATCTATATATATTTGTTTGTTATGTAAATAAAAAGAAAGAAAAAATAACCATAAATGTTATTGACATTTCAGGCATTATAGGACTTTTTATTAAACGAGTCGCAAATTTATTGTTCGTTAATCTGGTTAATTCTAATTTTATATATGCATAATCAGCTACATATTGACCACCAGCTGCAGTAAAATATGAGTTACCATCTTTATCTGCTTGCATTACTAATTCATTTGTTATAACAATCTGTGAATAATTAACATTTTGTCAATGAAGAAATGTAAAACAAACATTAAATTTTACTTACAGCTATATTATGATCCACTGTTAATTTATGTAGTTGATAAAGAATTTGTGAGTAGTAGTAAGGACGTTTCAAAGAATCATCAATAGAACATAATATTGGCATCGACAAGCTATCAATTATAACAAGACGAACCTACTTAGACGAAAAAAAATCATTTTAAACTTAACTACTACTTATGTATATATATATATATATACTATATATATATAATTTCATATATATATATATATATATATATATATATATATATATATATAAAATTTTATATATATAGAGCACGCGCTTTTTATCAATTATAACAAGACGAACCTACTTAGACGAAAAAAAATCATTTTAAACTTAACTACTACTTATGTATATATATATATATATACTATATATATATAATTTCATATATATATATATATATATATATATATATATATATATATATAAAATTATTTATATTTACAGTACCTGCTTATTGTTTTTTATTTTTTTTAATTCATCATCTAAACTATTGATAATTTTTAAAAATTCTTCCAATGATCTTGGTGAAAAAACTTGAATATTTTTATAAGCTTCGTCTTCGTGTAAATGCAAATCTTTATAATAAATGTTGTAACCCTGAATAATGTCTAAATAAATTTTATTAATTAAAATCTTAAATGAAATAATAATTATCTTAAACTTAAATCTTATAATTTTTTATCTCAACTTAATTTCAACTATTGATCAAAACTTTCTGCATTATCAATAGCAATTGCAATAATTTTTCATTTCATTCCATTACACGATTATTATATGTAAATAATGTATTATGAAATAATAAAACATTTGTTGAATATAAAAATACATGATGTTTATTTGCAACATTATTTATTTAATACAGCATATCGATTGTTTTCATCGTTATACCGAGGACACGGTTGATCTTCAACAATCAAATTGTCAACTTTTATAACTAACTTATCGATGTCCTTTTTTCTGTGTCTCGTTTGCTTTTTATTATTATTGATAACTGGAGAACAAAGTTTATCCGAAAGTATAGTTTTAACCGATGTCAAAATTGAAAAGAAAAATTGTAGAAGACTCGGGGATCTTTGCAGAATAGTACTGACATATTCATCGATATCATTATGTTCCTTAAACTTGTTATATAAATTGTATGTTAAAGTGCCATTAAACAGTTTTGCGACATCTGTCTCCTGATAAGGATGGTCCAATAGAGTATTCAAATTCAAACTATATTTTAAACTAATTTGAAATAATGAAAATGCATGAACTACGGATGCACAAAACTTTTTTGTATTTTTCACAAATTCTTTCTTAAACTCAAACTGTGATAAAAAAAAAGGCATTATTAATATACAATCTTCTTCGTATACGCTATTGTAGGCCTCGCTTATTGGCATGGACATGTTTAGAGGTGATGCCTTGATCCTACGATTTTCAGGCAATTTATACGTATTTAAAAATGTTCTATATTTATTATCAAAAGTCGATCGTTTTCTACAAAAAAAGCCAATTTTCATGTCTATAATATGAAAGAGCATAGAAAATAACAAAGTATATATGTGATATTTTGTTCGAAATTTTTTGTCTGCTTCATCCGACCAGTACTTAAGAACTCCCATGTAAAGTTTCCATTCCGGTGGATATTGATTTATAAATTCATCCGAACATCCAAATAGTCGATTTAAAAGTTTTTGTCTGTCCGTGACAGAGGAATTGCGTAATTCAATGAGGGAAGATAGATTCTCTAAACAGGTACTTTCGCAAAATAAAGTCTTTGTATTAATGTTGGTGAAGCGTCCTCTTCCAATATATTCTAATACACTAGGCCTATTCTTCTTTATCATCGATACTAATAAATTGAAAATCACTTGAATGATTTTTAAAGCAATATTTATACAAGGAGGTTCATAGAAATCTTCTACCTGAACAGGACACATAATTCTTTGCTGATCTAAAATGTCAACAAAGTAGGATGGAAATTTTCCTTGACTAAAGTCTTTTATAAACCAGGAAGGAATTATTTTAACAATGTTGCTTATATTTGTTGGTACGGTAATATTAAGATCGCAATTATCATTGTAAATTAAGTTTAGGTTGAGGATTGACATTTTGTTGTCGTTAACTTTGAACGCATCTTGATATTCGTAGTTATATTTTGGTAAGTCTTCTAATTTATTAGACAAGTCCGATGAAAGCCCTAATGGAATTAGCAAACTTGGCATTAATATACCATATCCACTTATAGTCATATCTATACTTGCAATAATTTCTTTACGCTTTGTTATTTTAGTTGCGTCTATTATTTTTGTAACTGCAGTTTGCAAAGTTTCGTGCTGCAACCATCTAAAAACAGTATCTAATTTCTGTTGACGTGGATTAAAATTTTTTTTATATCGTTGATAGCTAATTATTTCTTTATAAAAATATCCAAACATAGTTGAATTGATATAATCGTTTCCCAGAAGTAACGCAGCAATAGGCATTGCTGTTTTGTCCGTGCCCGGAAAACATTCTAAAAAATGATCGAGTGTAAACATTTTGCATTTTTTCACAAAATTGTTTTCTATTCTAGTAGTACCATAATATATAGTACGATACGGTATATACTTGACATCGAATATATAAAAATCTGAATCATTACTTATAATAGGACAGTCTAAAATCTTTGCTATACAAGCAATATCGTTATCCGCTTCGAATAAACTACTTGTTACTTTGAGACATTTTTCCTTTACAACATACTTAAATACATCTAAAAATAATAAAGGAAATAATGCTGATCTTGACTGCCTTTCAGGATTTGCAATAGATGCAATATTAATTCTGTCCTTCATTCTCTTATAATTTGTGTCTAGCTTTTTATCTTCGAATGCTCCGTCAAATATTATTAAAGGCGTTATATTGCATTTAAGAAGATCGTTAAAGAAGGTGGACACGCAATGGGCATATTTGTCATAATCACCTCCGAAACAATTATAACCCAATACACCTTCCTGGTATAATCCTGAAGCAACCGCATTGCCATCGATGACAACATAAGTATTATATAAATCATAATTTTTTAGACATGTAGTATAATTATTGATGTAAGTTGTTAATCCCAATACACCCATTGTTGTAAAATAATATAACCTACTTTATATGAGGAAGTTAATATGTAATAATTAGTTCATCACATATTATGGAAAATAAATATTACAAAATAAATATTGCGTAAATTATTATTTGATTTTGTATACAACTATATAGTTTTCTTTAGTCATGTTTCGTATTCAAGATATTCAAAGTGAACTTTTATAAGCTGCAAATGCACATTTTAGCCATTTATTTGAATTCAAAAACAAAATTTCTTGTGTTACATGCAAATACTTTTATTTTTAATTTTCGACAATAGTTTACGACTGCACAGTAATCCCGTGTATCTATAATTCAAAATCGAAAGCTTACTGAGAAATATAATTAAAAGCAAACATTTTAATTCTATAATAAAATAATAGATTTATTTCCCAAGAATGGGATAAGGATAACATCTAACTACTAACTGTTCAACTAATATTCAATTAAATTTTCACTTAGGCGGGGAATTTAAAATAAGATAAATAAGATTTCTCTATAGGAATCGACAAACTTTCGACTTTTACGTCGGCAAAGAAAATAAATACAAATTGATGAACAAAAGATAAATTGATAGAAATTTTTCTTACGTGACATTAATATCAATGGTATAAATAAAAAATAACGATTTCAACGCTAATTATTAGTATTGTACAAATATTAATAAGAAAGTATGTCGTCGATTAATTTATTCTTCTAATTACAATGTATAATTACGAAGCTATCTATAGTCAAAATCAATTAAAAATCAAATGATAATAGTTAATATTAACAATATGCTGGTTTATCCTTAATACAATTAGTTATAAATTATTATACGAATGAATGTTTTTATTAACGGATCGAGACAATTTACCTAAGGTGTATTAAATTAAATGTATTAATAAAAAATATTGTCCTGTTAATTCATTTTTTCATACAGCTGGAAATTAATTTTTATTTTTATTTTTCTATCTTTCTTGTCTGATTAAGTATAATATTTTTCTCTTCTCGTTCAAAAAGTTTCCCCCGGCCACTCAACCGTGAATTCGTTCGGGGCGTCACAATCAATCGAAAGTCTAAAATTTAACCCTCACGATGTACATACAGAATTGTTATTTTTATTTTGATGTAACATAAACAAGCAATATTGACAAATCATTACATCGTCTATTAATATATATATATATATATATATATATATATATACATACATAATAATTGATTGCGCGCATCGCGTCTTCTTATATGCTCATTGTGAATAATAAAAGCTTATATGGATGTGTTTTTGAACTATTCGTAATAAATAATAATATAAGGTTATTTTGTAATCTATAACCTTATTCAATATTTATTCCATCAAATATTTTCAGGTTTGTAGTTGAAAATTAACATCCATTTTTTTTTTTTTTGTTAATTTATCAATTCATGTAAATTGATTGGCATTATTTAGGCAGACATGACAGAAGAATTAGACAATCTTTTTTTTTATGCCAATACTTGTCACATTTGTAAAGTCCGTGGCAACGAAACACTTTTAAAAAAATGCAGTCGATGCAAAATGATTTCATATTGTGGCAAAGAACACCAAAAGCAACACTGGCTACGGCATAAGGACTTATGTTACGTCTTGTCAAGCATGCTTAACGAAACTAATAAATCACATATTTTCGAAGGAATGAGAAATTCTAATACGACAGATTGGGTAAAGGCAAAAATGAATTTAATGCTTTTAGTAATTATAAAGCTCGGTAGAAAATTATTACCATACGAAGAGGAGATGTTTAAATTCCCTAGAGCTTGTGTCGTTTGCCATGAAACTGATCAAAAAGTAATTATCGATTGCATATTGTGCCCAGCGGCAAGCTTTTGCAAAGAACATAAAAATGATTCTAGTCATTCAAAAATTTGCAAAACATTAACCCTCTGTTACGACTTGGATGTTGCATCCGCTGCATTGGTCAGGCAGCCTCCACTCAATACCGTGCCTTATTATACAGAAATGATTTCCTTGCCCGTCTGTATGAAGAGTTTTATCGATACGTATTATAATAAGAATAATTCTCTTCTGATATCCAATCGTATGCAAATACCTCAAATATCAGAATATCTTACTAGACCATTAACATTACTTTATGCTATAGAGAAATTAGGTTTTTCAGTTAATTCGGTAATAACTATTCATATTATTGGGGCAAATATGATTGAACTTGATGGAGCAGAAATTTGGGAAATACTTTTACATTGGTTGCCATCTTTAACTACGTTAAATATAGTTCTGATTGGCCCAGAACAATTTAAGAAGAAGTACAACAAATTAGAGTACAATATTTGCGACTATTGCAATGGGAAAGGCATAAAATTTTATCTGGAAACTTACGGAGAGCTATACAACGAATATGTGAATAGCAATTATTTTGTTAAGCCCGACATAATTGTAGGGTACAATGTAGGAATTCATGAACACGAGCCTGGAGATTTTAAATTGGACACATGGTTTGAGTCCATAAAAATCTTACCCGAACAAAACTGTCCAATTATGTTAACATCGTACACTGAGAAAGAAGCTAAAAAAGATCATAAAAGATTCTGTGATGTTTTAGAAAAAAATGTGTCTTTCATATGCTGTGAAGCGAATCCATTTTCCAGCTTAAGACCTCACAGAGATTACGAAACGGAAGAACTTTATTATCAAAATCATTACATCATTATTTATCGAGATTTTAATTAATCGATTTAAAATTATATGTCAATAATGTAATCTTTGTACAAAATTAATTAACTTATCTTTAAAATATAATAATCAAAAAAAAAAAAAAACAAAACAAAACAAAACAAAAAAAAATGCACAGTACATAGGCCATAAGCTAAAAATAATTATTTATGTTAGCATAATTTTTTAATCGAATATTATATTAATACTGTATATAATGATGAAATAATGCAAGATATTAATTATTGTTAAACATATCGTTAAGTATTTATAAAATATAATCAAAATTTATTTAATATAGCTATGAGAACAATTTAATTGCTATAAAATTTTTCATGTAATATTAATAAAAATAAAGTCCAATGATTCAATTGCAATTATACTCATGTAAATCGCTGAAATTTTAGTATCTACAGATTGAGCAGCTGCCAGGCTGGCAAGTGACAATTATAATTTTCAATGCACATGGAATTTTGTATAAATTTTATATAAATAATCATTAAATATATTAAGAATATATTTAAAAACAAATTAAAATTAATTAATTCATAATTTACTTATAAAATTAGTTTTTCTATTCTCATAGCTTTTACATATTAAATATATTTTCTATAATAATTTCCATAATGTGGGCGCGTATATGTATATATACATTCCATTACATTGGAATGTAAAGTAATTTTCATTTTAATTTAAAAAATAATCTTACCTTTAAATCTTAAAATATTAATACCATTTCTTGTATCTATATATATACACCTTCCATCCAGACCACCATAACTTTTACTTAATTGTACAGCAATGGAAAGCTGTATACTGTAAAATAATTTTCTTCATTATTAAATCCTTTGCGTTATAAGTTATCGAAGTAAACGTAAAGTTTAGACGTAAAATTACCATATTTGTGTTTTTCCTGAAAACGTAGAGCCGCTTAGTTCTGTTATGACTCCGCACTGAAAACCATTCCCTAGAATAGCCTCTAAATCAGGACAGCATATTGATATACTTTCTCTTTGGACGCTATTCTACATAAAAATAATTATTAAAAAGTAATATAATTAAAAATAGAAGGGATAATTACAAGAAAATAATATGGATGTATATGTGTATTTATAAACCTGCCAAACATCTAAAGCTAAAACCTCAGGTACTCGCAACTGCTTTTCTATCTCAGATTTATTAATATTAAATGTTGTTAAATCCTCTAAAATAAAAAATAAAAAAATAATAAACAAACAAAACAAAACAAAAAACAAACAAATTCAACAATAAGATATTAAATAAAAAATATACACATATATTTATTGTTATTATTGTATTGATTTACAATTTATAACTAAAATCATTAAAATAAAAGGGGAGAAGATTAAATTACCACGACTATTTAAAATATCTTCTACATAAACGTATCCTTTCTTTTTCAATTCAGCGACCGTGGCGCTTGGCAAATTAAGAGTTGAAATGGGTCGAAACATTTTTGAAATAAAGAAACTCTTCGATTAATAATTAAAAACAACATTTAAGGTAAGATAAGAATTTGAAATTGAGGATTAATAATACATAACAACACTACTGTTGTGTAAACTACATCCACGCGAATTCCAAATCTGTTTATTCGATAATCGAATTAAATCTTCCGAACCTCACTTTACGCTGAATAGCCTCATTAAATATTAATATTTTTGCAGTTGGTAATGACAAGTTCATGATAAACTCACGCTCCTATCCTTACAAAATCTGTGTAAATTTTTTACCTTATCTGGTATTGAAATACGGCCTCTAGTTTATGTAAGTTTTTGCACTTTAATAATTCATTATAAGGATTAATTTTATCAATTAGACATCCGATGGCTATAATGCAATAATTTACAATTTATACTAACTTTGCAATATTCGCTTGGACATTCAATAGTTTTCCACTAATCAAGCTTAAAAAATAATTAACAATTTATAAACAATAATAAATAGCTAATGTTAGTATATTGGTGTTTCTTATTATATTAATATAATATCTGTTTAAATATTCGAATATGTTTAGATGTTGATTAAAATTAAATATGTTTATTATTTTGTTATGTCTATTATATTAAATTTTGTTCATTTTTTGTTAATTTTTGTTTTTTTGTTTTGTTTTTTTGTTCTTAAGGTAATTTGATAAAATTATAATTGACTTTTTTTTTTAACTCAATCTAAATTTTATGAAATTTTATGAAAAGTGAAAATGTAAATTATAAATAAATCGCATTAAATTAATTTTTATAATGTAACGATTAAGGACAATGTAGAAAAATAAGAAAATTTGTTTTTCAATCGCTGTAAGATAGTTAGTTATTTTATATACATCCATATTATAATAAGATTGATTATTTTATAAAACATATATTAACCAATTAATTATTTAATTGCTTTATATTACTTTATATAGATTTAAAATATTAAATAGTATATTAATAATACATTATTTTAAATGTATACATAGGCATAAGAATAATTTAAATACAAATATTTATTGATAAATTAATAGAGAATGAATTCCAGTACAGTCTGTATTTGTAATTGAAATCTGTTGATTTTGTATTGCTTGTAATAAAACCTTTTTTCGTTTAACTCCCACAGGACTCCCATTGAAATTTATAAATTTATTTAAGTTTTGCAAAAATTTTTATTAAACATGGATCAACTAATTCATCACAAAGTAGTAGAAATAGCTTCGCAGGTTGAAAAGCAATTGGATTCAGAGCTAGAGAAGTTAGATAATTTGACTATAGATGATGTTGAAAAATTACGAGAGCAAAGATTAAAAGAAATGAAAAAACTACAACAGCAGAAGAAACAATGGCTTTCACAGGTAAATAAATTCATCTCCTATTATATTATTACGATGTATAATCCATTGAATTTTACTCTTTAGGGTCATGGAGAATATACGGAATTAAGTAGCGAAAAAGATTTTTTTGACATTTGTAAAAATTCTAATAAAGTTGTATGTCATTTTTATAAGAACACCGCCGAACGATGCAAACTTGTTGATATGCACCTTAAAATACTTTGCATTAAACACATAGAAACTCGTTTTATTAAATTAAATGTAGAAAACTGTCCATTCTTAACAGGTATATGTTAAAAAAATTGATTTTTTTTTTTTTTTAAATTTCCTCATACCGACTGTATTATATAATAAATTTTTATAATAAATTTAATGTTTTAGGACGTTTACGAATAAAAATAATTCCCACGATAGCTTTGATAGTCGACAGTAAGACAAAGGATTATATAATTGGATTTACAGATTTAGGTAATTGCGATGATTTTTCAACGGAAATGTTAGAATGGAGAATTGCAAGAGGTGGTGCTATATTCTACAATGGCGACTTGATGTATCCTCCCGATAAAGTAAAAGAGCAAAAACCATCTTCAAAGATAAAAACGATTCGTGGCAAGACGAATGATGATTCCGATTCAGATTAGCATATCGTATATACCATTAAACTTATTAAAATTATATATGTAATTCTTGTGTTTTTATATTGATTATGATGCTTAGGTAATATATAATAAGAAGTCGCTTTTAAATTGAAAATAATATTTTTTTATCATGGTATTAATTGTTTGTTGCACTGTTTGTTACACACAGAGAAGTAATGTTATTTTTGGAATGGTCAATTAAATCTATTCGATTGAAAATGATCGTTACATTAATTGCCGCACTGGTTCTTGTGTGAATCAAGCTACAGTTCACTGAAACACAAATAAAAATTGAGAATTATTTTCAATTTTAAAAAATATTTGAAATCATACACAAGTTACAGAGGGCACAAATAAAACACTTATTAATTTTTATAAAAGTACTTATATATCAAATTCATAAACTAAAATAATAAATTTAAATAAATATACATACTACATTATTCATTTTTAAGGCGCTTTTATTTCTCTTTTGTTTGATGACACTTTTATCTCTTTCATCCCACAATGTCAGTCCATCGCAAGCACAGATTCTTTTTGTATTTTGAAAAAGCCCAGAAGATCGTGCTATAATGCCACAGGCCAATCTATTGATAATAAATTTAATAACATGTAAGTTGGCGAGTTTTTAAATAATCTTAAAAAATTTGTATACTTTCAAGCATTTTACTATATTCAGATATTTTTTATAAAACTTATAGAATGATTGTCAATAAATGTATGCCGTTGTAACTGATACGATTATACATAATTGATCTCTTTGTTATTAAAAAATAACTTATACTTTAAAGTAATAGTTGGAAAATGCAATAATATTAAAACAATTATTAATTTTGCCGCGATTTCATTAAGTACTTTCAAAATTTTAATATATATATATACAATATATTAGAAAATTTTTTAAATGCCATTGTACCATTGTCTTTTAACATACTAATAATCAATTAATATATTGATACAAACGTTTTTTAGAATAAAATTATTATTTATGTTGAAGCTATTCTTCATAGAATTAAATATCAATGTATCGTTATTATCATAGATTTAATAATATTAGCATTGATATAAATATTTTTTGAAAAGCAAATATTTATCAATGTAATAAGATTTTTTTAATTCATTACCATCTTGTGGCGATAAAAAATGAAATAAGTAAAATTTACGTTTAAATTTTTCGAATAGTTTGCTAATTAAAATTGCCTTTCACAAACATTACGCAAATAAATCAAATTCATTAATTATTTGAAATATTTTGATATTTATTGTAAATAACATTCTTAAATTATATAATGAGAGTCGAATTTTTATTTCAAAGCTAATTTTGCTATTCATATTGAGAAATATTTATTATTTTTCTATCGAGTAATTGCGAGCGTAGCGTTTTCTCTAACAAAATGTATTATCATCGATATTTTATTCATTAAGTTTATATTTCAAGTTGATTATGTCTTTAGCCGAATTGTAATCGAGCTTTTATTAACTTTAACATCGATACTTAAGTTTTAGCCTTTTGGAAACACTTTCACAATTTCAGACTAAAGCGTGTGACATTTCTTTGAAAACCTTTATGAGTGAATCGATGAATATAGTTGCGATAAATCGAAATACATTCTACACATTTATTTTTATCTAATAAATTTAAAAAACGTTACTAGGCGTTATAAAATCTTAACGCTAAAATCATTTTCAACATTCTATCTTTTAAACTTTTGATAAGCCTGAATAATTTAACAATTTGTAAAATCTCTCTTTGGAAGTTATTTATTACATATCTATATTAACAATAAATTCATTAATTTTTATTTATAACTTTTTCCTATCTAATGTTAATATTCAGGGCTCGTACCATCCATTCTGATTAATTGAATTAGATTGAGATCATCTATAAATTATAGGAGCGACTTATTAAATAAGGAATAAAAAAGGAAAATAGCAAAAACAACGCGAATACTCGGAATGTTTTTTCGGTAAACGTACAAATCAATATAATATTAGATAATATTACATAATATTATAAATAATATAATATCAATTGAAATAGTTTCCAAGTCCAATAGTTGTCCCTTCGTAACGTACATCGTGTCAATTATTATACCTGGATTTTAACACACACACACACACACACACACACACACACACACACAGAGAGAGAGAGAGAGAGAGAGAGAGAGAGAGAGAGGTAATTGTTTCCTGCTCTTGGGCAAAATAATCTAAATAATAAGCAGCTTTCACTATAACAAACATTTGATTGAAATTTGTAGTCGCAGCCACATCATTAAGGTATTCGATATTATAACAGTGCTTGCACTAACTTTCGGAATTTTTAAAAAAATTGCACTGAAAAATTCGACGTTTTTTTCTTCGTCTTTTTCTTGTTCTTTTTACATCCATCCATCCATCCATCTATCCGGACTTCAACAATAAGGGGGATCAAACAAGAACTGTGCTGAAAAGATATTAAGCAGTTTTTCCTTCTGTTCTTTAGAAAAGATAATACAAAAAAAAAAACACCAAGTCGGTCGGTTTTTATAAATACGTTACTACAAGTTAATATCTGCACGCCACACTATCGTGCAATTTTGAACTTCAAAAAGTTTCGAAACGAATGGAATAGTGAAATTTCAATTTATTCCTTCTCACACATCTGTCGAGTACACATTTAAGTAAATGTCCCATTTTTAATCCAGTTTTTCTATTACAAATACCAACGCTGCGACATACAACGTATCCCGTGATTCACAGGCTCTCCTCTTCTTTTAAAATTTATTAATCTAACGAACAATATCCACGCTCGAGTGGAGGTAACTATAACAGAATAATTATAATCAAATAAATATTTTGATCGAACTTTTGCACTGAAAATACTTATGGGAGCCTTGATACGCACACACCGAGGTTTGCGTGTTTTTTTTTTTTTTTTTTTTTTTTTTTTTTTTTTTTGAACGTTCGATTGAATTTTGAACGAATCGACCGTTATTGATTATATTATTGCATTGGGTTGCACACGATGCATTGCTGCCCGCATTTAACGTAAATTGCCAATCGCCAACGCCAATGTAAAATATAACAACCGTTAAGATGGGTGCGGGTGCGCTTAGGGGACGACTTGAAATTATTACACCGAGTTGCTTGGCTATTTAACGAGCCCTCGAGAACGTAATGGAGGGAGCAAAATTAATGTCTATCGTTACGTTCGCCGTTCAATGTCCCGTCAGAGCGAGTCGAACGACTTTTTTTTTTTTTTTTTTATTAATCGCCGACGTAAAAGGCCTTGTCGTCGCGCTCCATTCACTCCGACGACAAAACATGCCAAGGACAAGCTGGACAAAGTAGTACGGCGACAACTCGGCCCAACAGCAATAACGACGAGCCCACGATCTTCGCTCCGCTAAGACTCGGATCCACGCCGTCGCCGCCGCCACTGTCTGGCTCCTAAACAATAAGCAACAGGCGCGCTCCGGCTCTAGTGTGAGGCGGGGACGCATGTCGGACGGGAATCGGAGGCTTTTCGCAAGTACGGGCCAAACTCGCCCAGGACTGTCGACGCTCGAGTGGAGCGAAGCGGTCACCTGGTTCGCCTCTTATTTTTGGTGTCGCAGGCGCCGTACCCGGAGGTATCGTAGGCCGATGCCAGCGGCGGTGCCCGCGTATCTTCAGTCACGGCCGCAGTGCCACGACGTCGAGCGCGCGAACGCGGAGGTGAAACTCCCGGTGCGCCATGAGTATTGCTCGAATCCCTTCAGGATACCTCGGCATCGCGTATCGAGCAGTCTCCGGAACGTGTCCCGGCTGATTCGCGAGCGGCTCGCACACGTGAGCCTCGACCGGAAGATATGCGACGGCTGCCGTCAGCGTGTTTACACGATGCTCAAGGAGCGCAAGCAGCTCAAGCCCTCGGCACGTCTTCTGGAGGAACGCCGTCGAGCCGAGCTCCAGATTAACGGGCAGAGGAGGCCCAACGTAGAGGCTGTCGGACGGCTGGCCTTCGCCCCGACCAAAAGATCCATCCCTAACCTGACGCGTACGTATGGCAGACCGGCATACGCCGAACTCCAATTTTACCCGCGCTTTTTCTATTTTATCTGGGTAAACGACAGCAGCGTCGGTCGCTCGTGACCAATCCACGTTCGTTCGATGCAGCTGTTGTCCCTAGGTTGTCACGACGAGCGCCCCAACCCACATTCCTTTCCGTCTTACGACCTTTCGTCCTCCTCCTCCTCCCACCCCTATCCCCCGCCCCTCACCCTTCATCCCGCGCCGATTTCCCTTTTTTTACAAACACAGATTTCATATGATTCGTGGTTAGGTTTTTAAACCGAGCTCGAGCTCTTATACCGCCGCCTCTAGCCCCCACCCCTACATACACACGCACACACGCACAAAAACTAACTAACTAACAAAGCGAGCCACGTCAGTGCTAACGTTACCGTCACTATCGCTACCACTGCCACTACCATCACCATCCCACCACAACACATTTGTCCGTCTCTCAACTACCGCCACAATGTTTTTGTCAACGTAATGTGGAACTAGAAACCAGTCTCTCGCGTCGTTGTTATTCCTTTTAAACAATGTTCTGGCAAATTTGTGCTCTTATTTGAAATTGGGGCCACTCGTTTTTATAATTAACGCAAATTCATTCTTGTATATCCTCGCTTTCATTTTAGCTAGGACTCGCTCGATTTATCGATCGGCTTGTATGTTCCATGTTATGGGGACGAACAATCGTGTCCCTTCTATATTGTCGGAGGTTATTATTTTAGTATTACGCTCGTTAAGCGCGACATTCTTTCTACGAGTTAAGTTCTAACAGTTAATCTCGATATTCGCATTGACTTTTCATTCCGACGACGTGCATTTCACTCCTCTAACGTGCAATTAACCGTGGTGTAACGTACCTTTTCCCGCTATTCCCATCTATTTTGGATGCAGGATCGTCACCTTTACCAAGATCATCCATCTTCGATGTGACCACTAGAGATCTGCCAAAAATACTGCTGACATCGACGAGATCGTTGATCATTCTGAATGTAACTCTTCCGTTATTGTCTGCCATTATATTTCCCAGGTCACCGACGTGCTAATCAAACATAGCGACTATAATATTAATGCGCCTAAGCATTACCTAGCATCGGCGATAGAAATGAGACGCGGAGTGTACCCTTTTAGATGGTGGATCGTCCGGCCCTCCGTGTGGTGTATGGTATGGATTATAGTGTTCGCCTACGCTGTTGGTGTGAGAAATTAATTAGACAGTCTTGAGCATTGGACAAATTAATATTAAGGATAAATTACCTCTCGCAGCCATTTGAAATATCACCGCATTCGTGAATGTGTAGTCCGTGATAACCTGTTGTTAATCCATCGATCGTACCGTCTATTATGCAGCCTTTTTCAATTTGAACAAACCGAACCACTCCTCTTATAACATCACCGAAACTATAACCAGAATTTCCCCCCAACATTGAAACTGCGCTGTAATTATCCTCTAAAATTTAAGTTTGTACTTTAAAACGAATTACATTTTACTGTACATTTTAGCATTGTGAATTCATCGAAAATCAAGGAAGCTCTTTAACGAGTAAAGTTACGGTTTCAGCGCACGTTCGTTAAATATTTTCTAAATTGGCAAGCAATTGTTTTCTCTCGCAATGAGCTTATATTTCATTGGGACAAAAAAATTATCAACGATTGAAAGTTACAATTGAAATTAGTACGAATTCTATACGTGAATGTAAGAGTAAAATAGCTGAAAGCGCAAAGTACTAATCTACATTTTCACGCTTTACTGATAATGAGCAACCATTACTTTACTTGATATTAATATTTATGTAGCTTTATACAATAATAATAATAATAATAATAATAATAATAATAATAATAATAATTATTATTATTATTATTATTATTATTACCGTGAAAACAAATTCTTTAAACAAATGTGTATTAAGACCTTTTGAGAACTAATGTTTACAAGAGAATTTTCTTTCGCCGCCCTTGTAATTATGTTAAACTCTCGTAGACCTACCTCCGTAACCCTTAAGCACAGCCTTCTTGCCAGTATTTTCAATTATCTCCTGTATCTTTAAATGCGACAAATTTGTATCAATAATTACTGAATTTTGGTCCAAAGATACCTGAACGTTACGTATTCCCTCCACTTTATGCAGAGCATTTCTTACAGAATCAACACATTTTTGGCATTCCATTTGCACAGCAAATTCAATCTAAAATGAATGAATAGAATATATAAAATAATGAAAAGTCTCTTCGTCGTTTATCGCCATTCATTAATTTATGAATAATGAACCTTTATCGAATTCATGTTTTTCATTGATATTTACGAATTCACGAATGATACAGCAATTTTACATGCTCCACTGGACGTTCAGGTTATCTACGAAGCTTTCGAAAAATAAATGTTTACAAAACACGAGCATCAAAAACTAATTCTTCATTAAAGAGAAATTTTAATTATTAATATTTTCCATGCGATCCTAAAAACAAATCGACTATGTAAATCTCATAAATTTCATTTATATCGCGCCTTATTCATCCTAATCAAACTACTAAACTATATAGTTACATATATATATATATATATATATATATATATATATATATACATCATGCAAAACAAAATACCCTTCAACGTATAAAAACCTGACACTAAATCGTTAACAGTAACTGGTATTCTTGATAATAGCCGTTGAAGGACGGAACATAGGTGTTACACAATCGATTTCTCGAATCCAGTGTTGCCATGTGCCACGTGCTTCCGTAATGTCTCAATAATAATAATAAGATTGGCCCCACTGGGGCTAATTAATTCATTGTTTATTTATTAAATGTCAGGCGCTGCATTTAACTCGACTGCGAAGCCCTTACACCCGCAGCATTATTATCTATGTTAAGCCTCGTGTATTTAGCCATCGAGCTTTAAAGGCTATTTATTGTTGTCTACTTTGGCCAATGTTTACAATAACAATGTCGCATCGTAAAACGCACGCTGATAAGAAATTGTAATCTTGCCCGTGAAAATTCGCACGAGCCCTCACCACTTAACAGTCCACTTGATATCGCAATAATTTTCAATTTCCCGCCAACTGAGAAGCAAGCGAGACTCACGAGTTAGTTGGTACATCGCTGGCTCTCGGCAACGCTGCCGCTTGACATCGTCGGCGCATCCTCACCAAGTCACAATCGTAATTTGCAATTCGCACGTCGATCGGTCGATCCGCGCCGTATTCCGCATTCGCGTCGTCCATTGCACACTCGATAATCAAAGACGAAGCTTTCGGCGATCTTCATTTTGTTCTTGTACAATGTGAAATTTAACGTTAACTAGTTGAAATACGCTGTAGCCGTCTCGATCATCACGATGGGAATTTTCAAGTGATTGTGCTTGTTGATAAATTTGGTGCCGGTCAATGTCGTCTGAAATAATAGGAGAATACGTCGTTCAGTGTGTTCGAATAAGATGTCGTTCTGCAAGCTGCTTGTGCCAACGTCGATATTTTTCCGAAATAACGATTCCACTCGAAGCAACATCGCCGCAATATGTTAATTCGCAGCCTCTCGTTGTGTACGTTGGGAAAGTCGCTTAAAAATGACTTGTTTATCTTGAAATACGATCAATTCGGTACGCACGACACTTATGATTTACATAAACACTGCTTATTCACTGATTTTCTCAATGCTTTTGTCATTGAATGAACTTGTTGATTTTTCTTATTACAGAAAACTCAAGTACATTGGCGAAGTCTGCAATGTCGAGGCGTAACAAACCTCAGACGCAATTCATCATACACAGGGATCCAACGAAACCGTCTTGCTGCTTTTGTGGCCTTTCGGAGGAGAATGAAGTGGAGTATGGAAAATTTTATCAACACAGCGGCATCATTACTCATTATTATTGTTTGGTAAGTAGAGATCATCGGATTTATTGTTACTTCAGACTGTGACTTTGTCATGCATTATCCTTAGGAGCATCTGCAACACTGTTTAGCGTGCAGATCGATCGTCATACGTAACGTGGCTTTCGATAATAAGTATCGTGTTTTTCTTTTTAATGCATATTTGTTTGGAAAATTTATTTACATAAATATTACAGTATTTTCAAATGCCCCTACTTTATAAATATCGATGGTCCATTGATTGTAAATATTGATGGAATATGCTACATTACCTGTGAATGGATTATCCTGTGACGTTTGCGTCTAGCCAAAAAACAATATTTTGTTATTTTTGAAATATCTGTCAATTTTTTTCATTTTTCTGTCGACAATATTGTTGAATAATACACAGCTTGAAAATTGGTATTTGTGCCATCAATATAGATTTAAATTTTCAATTTGCGAATAGAATTTTTAATAATTCAACGTTATAGAACCATTTTCAGCAAAATAATGTAATTTACACTAAACAAACTCTTTAATAATTTATTTCTATTTTATGTAGCTCTTATCATCGAATATGGAACAGAAAGGAAACGACGATGAGGGCATTTTGGGATTCTTAGCGGATGATATACAAAAAGAAATACGTAGAGGAAAAAGGCTTGTAAGGCATTTTATTATAATTTTAATCAATCTGATGTGTGACGCACAGAAACACATACACGCGTCAAACATACATACATACATACATACATGCATACATATACGCATAAGTATACATAATTGTATTTATATTTTCTAGGTTTGTTCCTATTGTAGAAGAAATGGCGCGACTTTAGGTTGTTGTAATACTAAATGTAAAAAGATTTTTCATTTTCCATGTGGTTTAAAGGCTGGGTCTTTACACCAGTTTTTTGGCGAGTTCAGGTTTGTAGCATTTTTTCATTGAAATTTTTGATGTTCGCTATTATTATTTTGGTTTGATAAATCATTAAGAGAAGGATTATTTTGAAATAGGTCCTATTGCATAAATCATAGACCAAAGCAAAAAATTGATGAAAGAGTGAAAAATGAAATTGAAAATATGTCTAACATATTGTGCTACATTTGTTACGAAGATGTTGAACCACTAGATTGTAATGGAACATTGTGGGCACCCTGTTGTCAAAAAAATGCTTGGTTTCATAGAAAATGTGTTCAAGTCGGTATTATTTTTAATAATAAATATTATCGCATTGTTAAGAATATGTAATTATTGAAGAACTCTTCGTAATTTTACAGCAACTTGCCATGAGTGCTGGATATTTCTTTAAGTGTCCGCTTTGTAATAATAAGCGAGAATTTCAAACTGCCATGTTAGAATATGGAATTTATATTCCAAGACAGTAAGTATTAATGACTCTTAAATTAAATGACACTCGAATCAGCTTGTTGGTTTATTAAATTTGCTTATTTTTGTGCTAACTTAGGGATGCATCTTGGGAGCTTGTGCCAAATGCATTTGAAGAATTGCTATACAGACATAATCGTTGCGATTCTATGGCTTGCCTATGTCCTAAAGGCAGAACATATACAAGTAGTAATGCGTAAGAATAACAAAATGTTTATAATATAAAGAGCATTTTTAATGCCAACTTTTAATTGATATTTATTTAAAATTAATTATGTCTTCATATAATTTATTTAAAATCTGCTCTCTGTGTTCTTTTAACATTTTCTTTCTTTTTTTAAACATTCTGCTAATCCAGTCGTACAAATAATAAATTTGCAGAAAGTGGGAATTAGTATTATGTCGGATGTGTGGTTCACAAGGAACTCATTTATTTTGTAGTCGCCTTAAATGGGCAAATCCAGTATGGGAATGCCAAGAATGTATTGCAATTATAAGTAATTTTCTATTTTATTATCTTGAAATGTCTTAATTAGAGATCCTTCGTAATTCATTTACGTATGTGAAATTTTCAGAACCGGGTAAAAGTAGAATAATGACTGATGATTCAACGTCTAATTCAGACGATGCAACTAGACAGTGAGTAATAATTTAGCAGAAAATGAGGAATTAATAAGAGAATGCAATATTTTTCACAATGTCTTGTCCTACAGAAGGAGAAATACTACGCTTAATTTAACAATTAGAGAATACAATGATGATAGCGACTCTGACATTTCGGTTGGTAACGATCGTGAACCAATAGAAAACAATATAGATAACATTCCAATGTTTTTACCTCAATTAAAATTACGACCTGGACCGCGATCATTTAAACTACAGCAAGTTGAAAAATTAAAAATGTAAGTTATCGCTTGTTATTTCGATATAAATTCTATATTCAAGAATACATAACCCATGAAAAACATCTGTATTTCTCTATATTTTAATATTAATAATGTTGTTTGAAAATTTAATTATTTCAAGTATAGATGTGTATAATATTCTCTGAATTTGTTTATTTCGCCAATTTCTGCTCAAGTGGCTAAGCCGTTTGTAACAAACAAAAAAAAACTTTACATTTGATGCAATGCAAATTAATAGCATTACATATATGCACGAACTTGTAAAGTATTCCTTTAATTACCATCTTTAATAACATTATTTTTAAATTAAAAATCTTAATGATGTAAATGTTTCGTAAGATAAATGTAGAAACCTTAACTAATATCATTTTTGTAGCTCTGAGGCTACTAAGGAATGTTACAACTCAACCCATAATAGTCCTAGTAATTCTAACATAGCAGTCAATAGTAATATACTCAATAATATTGGAAACACAAGAGTGTCTGCGACATCGACAAATTTATTTGGAGAAGTTATTTGTCTAGATAGTGATGACGAAGCCGTTGAGGTATATATTTACAGACTAGGAAGATTACTTTCCTTCAAAAACAATGGTTTAATAGTCAAATAACAATTGCAACAGCTGAGAGTAAAATTTGGAAAAACGATGTAAATGCATGAAATAAATGTCGAATGTAACATTCGTATGATTTCCAAAGATCTATCGAAATTATTATTATTATTATTATTGTTGTTGTTGTTGTAATCGAATTATATATATATATATATATATGTGTGTGTGTGTGTGCGCGCGTGCGCGCGTGCGCGCGCGCGCGCGCGCGTGTATATATATATGATTCGCGCATATATGTAATGATTCCAAGTTTTCAATGATGTAGCGTTGCATATTGTCAAATTGCCGATTGTAACGAATTACAGCGACTTAGCGATAATTTTAACTAGTTTACTAATCTCGTATTTTTGTAGATTCTTTGTGAAAACGCAATGAAAAGTACAATTAGAAGTAATGGAATATCTCATTTTAATAAGATGAACAAAGCAGGCAGTAGTGATACGTCGAATATACTAAAGTCGCATTTAGAAAGCGGCGTGAGATCGTTGCCGAACAAATCGAATACCGTCTATATAGGAGCAGCAAAAATAAGTGGCGATGTGGCCTCGGCAATAGTGGAGGAGAGTGGCGATTCTTCTTTTAATATCATCATAAGCAACGTAACGTCTGTACCTCCGGAATTCTTTGAGAGTGCCGAGGAGCCATTGGCTGACGACGGCTTAAAATATAAGACAGAGTTAGCCTCGAGTGTATCGCAGTATAATCTTAAGAGAAATCATCCGCTAGACGAGGAAAATGGCCGCCCGCTCGTTATCGAAGCGTCTAAACGGGCGCGACTCGAAGCCGCGCATCAGCAAATAAATTACGTAGAGTCCGCGAACGTTGCCGATATTACCAAAGACAGCATCATGAAGATTGAGAGGATCGAATCGTTAGATGACGTGTTATCCAACGTTAAAAAACAAAGTCACGGTAAAGCTGATATGATGACACCGTTAATAGGATCCAGCAGCGCGACTTCCTCACTCGAAAGTGTAAGCACCACATTTCTTTACTTCTTGAAACAAGACAATTCTGTAATAAGATTCGCATATTGAGATTATCGTTCGCAACGTTGACAAAACAAAAACAAAAACAAAAAAAAAATACAAAATACAAAAAACAAAATCAAAAACCAAAAAAAAAAAAAAAAAACAAAAAACAAAATAACACTATACACTTTTCATCTAATTTATTGATCGCTCCAAAAACCTTTCCTAAGATCTTGCGTGTGATATAACGTGTTTTTTTAATAAGAAATGTTAAGCGCATATTAATCTCGTATATAATACATGTATATACATATGTGCGTGCATATATATATATATATATATATATATATATATATATATATATAAATATAAATATACATATATATACATATACATATATATACATATGTGTGTGTGTGTGCGCGCGTGTAAATGCTCGATGCCGTAAAAAATGGATTTGTGGATTTCTGGACTTTCGCTAAGTTCAATTTACTGGAGTAATGTGCGGGGATTGCATATTCACGTGTATCACCGTCCCCGTACTTTCTCTCTAGTCTTACTCTTGGGGTTCTAACAGTGTCACGGAGATGCAGGCACCAGTCCTGCAATGGTTGACACCAGCCGCTTCTGCGGTCAAGTTAGGACCGCAGTCGACAGAATTCCAGCGACTGCCAATGCGCATCAAAAATCTTGGACAGCCACTCCAGTATCCGTCAATAATGCCGGAAGTAATTCGGAACTCGCCTTGTAAGTAGACCAAAGCTCTGACCAATGGCTTTTCTTTATTATATTATTACAAAATGTGCATAATAAGTAGTCATGGGCAAGAAATAGGGAAGAATCAAAATTTTCGAACGAATCGGAGATAAGCCGCCTAAATTAAGGTCGCCTAAGCTCATTTGTAATACGACTAATTGATTGATTGAATAATTTAGAAAATGAAAATGATAACAAAAACAGCACTGCGAATGTTTGTAGCTTTGCTTATGTTACCACGTAAGGATTGCGTAGCCTAATTGAATTTACAACACTGACAAGATAAGTATTCTTTCCTATTTGTATCTGTCTTTCGTACTACCATCTCACAATTACTTTAAAATACATTAGCGAAGGCTTGACAATATTATTTCTATATTTACGTATTTTGCATTTAATTTTCATATCTCTCTCTCTCTCTCTCTCTCTCTCTCTCTCTCTCTCTCTCTCTCCACACACATTGAAATGGATTATACGTTTTTCTTTCCCCCTAATGCCTAAACAAAATAATTTTCACTACAATTTCGTATTAATAAAGTTAATAATGAGTACGGTAGAACATTTATATATTTGATTGTAAGTAATGTTTGCGAATTTCTTGCCAAAACAAATTACTTTGTATGAATTTTTTTTTTTTTTTTTTTTTTCATAACTCCAGTTAACTTCAGTGTTATATTTTGTTTCCGTAAGGATAACAATGATTTCTAATGCGATTCCTTAACACCTTGAAATCGGCTTGAACGTTTGCATAATAAATAAAGTGCAAATCAGGTAGAAACAGCGTGATTAATGTATCTTAGCAAAAAAAAAAATTTCTTAATGAATGGCTTTTACGATTTTAATTTCTTCATTTATTTTATCCCTCTGTTGCACCTTTTCAACTCCTCCCCGTTACAAATCATTTGGTTTTTATGATTTTTTTTTTTTTAAACTGTGAGTATTGTGGGCTTGTAGAAGTTTATTTCGACTACAAGCGGAACTATAAAAATTTCTTGAAATTTTCAGTCGTACCGTTTTCGAAAATGGTTCAAGTTCCCATTGCAGCAACGACGGCAGTGGCAATAGCGGCAATTCAAAGTCAAAAAATTCCACTTTTAATCGATCTGGATTGATTCCAGATTGTATATATCTTGATGAAATTAATTTCAAAACTTATGGAGACAATGTGGACGTAAGTAATTTACTTCTATAAGCCAATATGAATATTATTACAAATTTTTCAAAATGTTCACTCCGATAGACATTTTTAAGATTACGTGATTGTAGTAACTACATCCACATCATATACAAATATCAATTTTTTTTTTTTTTTTTTTTTTTGACATTTTAATACTTTACATTATATTAACTAGTATGTGTGGTGCGTGCGTGTATGTAATTAATTATATCGGGATTCTATTGTTAGACATTTTTATATCTTTTATGCCTTTTTTTTTTTTTTTTTTCGTAAAGCTACTAATGCCTCGAAGTCCAAAAAAAAATTATTTAACGCATCTTTTTAGAGTCTTAACATTTTGAAAATCTATATATAGCTCAATGAGAACCAACCTAGTTCTTAGGGAAAAAAAGAGAAGCTTTATATTATGAATAAACATAATGATCACTGTTTATAATTACTTAAAAAAAAAAAGTATAGCTAAAATGATCTTAATTTGTTTATGTAAATATTATTTTGACAATTACAGCAAGCATTTTAAAAAGTTCAAAACGAGTGTTTTAATTGTTGGAGGCTTACGATTGAATTAGAGTAAAATTTTCACCTAATTATTCGTCGTTAAATTTACTAACCGATGTAATAATTTCATGATAACAAATTCTTAAAGTTTTTATTATAAAATACAACGTTGTTTAATTTAACTATAATTATAATATAATTATATTCGTATAACTGCAAACACAGTAAGTTCATAATATTTATAATTTTAAAGAGGTTTTCATTTAGAAAAGTAATATTTTGCCAAAAGAAAATGTTGAAGACGAATTGGTATATATTTATTATTTTTTAATTAATTCAATTATGTGATATGAAAAATACTTCATTACCAAGGCAAAGCAAAAGAATAATAAAATGTATAATATTACTTTCAATCGACACATTCAATGTTTATAATTATTCATACGTAAACAATATCATCCTCGCGATTATTCTTTCTTTCATTAATTCGTTTATTTATTTATTTATTTATTTATTCATTCATTCATTTTTAAGTGTGCTATTTCGAATGCTTGGGAAAAATTAGAAGGATCGAGCATGCAAAAATATGTATTCTTGGTCCAATTCCAAAGGAATATCAAACAATCCTAGATTTCCTTCATCAAAAATATGATAATTAATACCGTAATAAATTGGCGTCAATGATAATGTGTCACCGTTATCATCTCATATAAATTATAAAAGTTTGAAAAGCCCTCGCTCGATACACTAATGAATATTTATAATTTACAGATAATATATGGCACGCATACGATCCGGCTGAAAATGAATGGCCTAAGGAACATGAATTTGTCAAATGTTGCGGGTAATGTTGTGTCAACCTCAGCGTCCCCGTTCGCAGGATCGAATTTTCTTTTATCAAGTGAAAAAAGTAGTAAATCCTTTCAGTTACGCTCTGACGACTCGGATGAATTTGATAATAATTCAAAATCATTGAATAACGAAGGCCGAAGGAGTTTTGTTTACGAGGACGATAACACATTGTTAGAATATCCAACTTCTGCAAGTGTTTCGCATAATAATGTTAAAATTTTGAAGAAAATGTCATTAACGCACGATAAAACTGTTTCGAGATTCGCCAAAAACGATTTAAAAGAGAACTGGGATCCAGAAATATCGAGTTCGAGCAACAACACTTTTGATAGTTCAAACAACAATAATAATCAAATTAATTATTCCGATCTAAAGGAGAACAATACTAATTCTTATGAAAAGTCAAATAAGAATGATGATGATAATATTTTTTCACAAACGCAACGAGATGATTTATGTGCCAATCAGCGATTTTCCCGAAGAAGTAATAGATTTATTCGACATTTCCGATCTGTTCGACAGTCGAATGTTATGAAGAATGGTCGCGTTAATGGGGACTCGACAGACCTTAATTTGAGCACATCGTCGTCATTATCTTCTTCATCTGGAAAATCAAATAAAATAGGGGAGATCGATCAGTCTATTAGATCCAAATCACTGAATGTTATCAATAGTTCAGACATTGTGTTTCATGATAAACATTTTGAAAATGTTGGTGTTAATGATTTAAGATTAACGATTACGGACAAAGTGAACGATAATACACACGATAATAGTGAAATTGTTGCGGATGTGGATTTCAAAGTCAGTATAGATTTACAAAAAATAAGTAATCTTATCAACGCCAAACCAGATTTATTTTTTAAAACTAAAAATGATGGCGTCAATAGCCCGCGCGCTTACAGAGTGAATGAGAAGTTAAAGATCGAGTTTGAATTAGGAGAGACAAAATTTATTACAAAATCTCAAAGCTTCGATTGCCTTCTGGATTATACAAATGATAATTTATTCTTCAACAGAAGCAAAAGCTTAGAGGACTTATCATTTATTGATAGTAACGACTTCATGATAGCGACTGATAAAAAAGACTGCATAAAAAGAAATCAGCGTCGAAAAACAAGACAATTTGAGAAACACGAGTGTTTTAGGTAATCTCGGTTTCCTCAGTAATGCTATATTATTCTCTCTCTCTCTCTTTTTTTTTTTTTTTTTTTTTTTTTTTTTTTTAATTTTCTTATTTTATTTATTTATTATTATTATTATTATTATCAATATAAATATTATTATTTTATTTTATTTTTTGTTTTTTGTTTTTTTTTTTTTTTAAATAAGTTACTGGTATTCAGAAACAATGCATCGAAGTTTTGAGTTTCCAAATTTATTTTCAGTGCAATTTTCATTAACTTAATAATCGGTTAACCAATGACTCATGAATTTATTTTCACATGCTCTAAAATAAACAATATACGCACCATAAAGTGTAACTTAGTTTAAAACTGAATAGTCTAATATGTTCAGTTTTTGTGATAAAACGTCAAAAATGTTTTCTTTTACAAATGGACATTACGAATATTATGTAGATAGCGTATAAATAAACAGTACGTTTAAATTTTAATATGTATTGTAAGCGATAATAATAAATTATATCTATTATTAATAATTATATTTACTTTCTTAAGTTACAATTGCAATCTCTTTTATTTACAATTTGGCTCCAAAGAAAATGAATAGGCATATAAATTATTCAAAATGTTAACATTTATTTTCACCTTCTTTTCTTTCTTTCTCTCTGTCTTTCTTTCTGTTTTTCTTGATATTTTTTTTGTTTGTTTTTTTGTTTTGTTTTTTTTTTTTTCATGTTGAAATGCTTCATTATAGAGCTTTGGTGTAATTGCTTTAAAAATTTATATTGTAAATACACATTGTTTTTAAATTAATGTACTATACAAGAATTATAGTAAGAAAGCAGAATTTAAATTAAATTAACATCCTTATTATAATAGCAATATACAAAAGCAGTGTACATACATATTGAATTTACATTTTTTTTTTTTGTTTTTTCAAAAAAGAAAAAAATATATACAATGATTCACTGCAGTATTGTATCTACGTTAAACGCTAATCACAATTAACTTAAGCCTAGGAAAATAATATCAATTATTAGAAAATTTTCAATATTTTGCAATACTTGGTCGTGTAGAGAGAAAAAAAATGAATGGCACATTTGATTTCTCTATTACACTGGATATAATTAAAACTGCTGTATTTAAAAAAAAAAAAAGTAATGTAACAAAGGCCACAATAATATTATTAAAGAGGATAGTCACGATGTAATCTAATATTTAGATAATTCATTGAAAATGATTGAAGTTTTATTAATTTTGAAATACTGTTTTGTGTCCTTATTAAGAATAATCAGTACTTAATAATTCCTTATGTTACACAAAACATATATTTATTATAAATAAAAAAATTATTAGAAATAATATCTTTACATATTATTTAAAAAATTTACTATCTAATTATATTACGATTAAATTTTTTTTCTCTTTAAAATATGTACAAGCTTGAACGTCCATTCTTGTAAATAAATCTATGTATACAAATTATACATATAAGCTTAGAAATAAAGAGTCTTTCATCAAAATCGAGGTAGTTACATATACCAATGTCATTGGCAAATTCGTTCAAATGGAAATCAACACCTCATAATCGCTTAATAAAACCTGTACATTATTGCGTGTTTTCACATAGGCTTCCAGGCAACCGTGCCCATCTTATTATTGAGTTCTTGTAAAATAAGCGAGCACGTGAGTTGCTTCTCCGGCGATAAACTACTGACACCCTCCATCTCATCGTCGTCGTCGCCTGCTCCGCTACTGCTTCCTCCTTTCCCCTTGCCCTTTGCTTTTCTCTTCTTCTTTTTATTCAATTGTCGACAATCGTTGTCCGATCCTGTTTCAGCCGCTCTCCTCAGCTGCAAATACAATAAAATAAACAGAATTAGCCATTATCGACAGAGCGTTGGATAGTTGTTGGATGGGTGTCGTTTAGGTTCAATCGTCGTGTGCGAGAGATATACGTTTAAATAAACTTGTGCCTTACACTCTACCAACGTCGGATCCCATCGACGCGCTAATAAAAATTACACGCTACGGCGTAATATTACCTTGGCGCTCTTCCTCGTCTGTTTGTCGTACTCCAAGGAGTCGTAGTAGTTTGGCTTCTCTCTCTTGATTCGGTTCGTTCTTCTTGTCTTCATCGCACCACCTTCGGGACTGGGAGGACTTTTGATGGAGTTGCGACGTGCATTAAAGAAGGAGTGACCACAGGGACAAGCTTTGCACGCAACGGGCACCTAAGCATTCGACAATCGTCATTGGCAAAAGTAAAAAGAAAAAAAAATCCCATTCCAAGGATGGATTGGGACGGTGATTGATTTGAGGTTAACAAGACTCCTCCAACAGCCAATGGTCTCATTTAAAAGAACGATTAAACATTATCCTTACCTGCTGCTCGCACTTTGGACATCCTTTACTAATTGTTTTCGTCTTGGCCATTCTAAAACAATAAAAGACAAATCTATTTATCGAGCTTTAACAACAGTCGAACGCGCAGCCAAAGCATGCAGCGACACACGCAGACGCAAGTAAACTTTGATCTTAACAAAATCCGGCTCCTTGGTCGGTTAAATTATTTACGGGCTCGATTGGGCGAAGCGAGACCCCGCGCGCGTGCTGCATTACATTAGCAAAAACAATGTAGTTGGCTGGGCGAAAAAGGCCGTAGGGAGAAGAAGGAGGGACACGATAGAGCGGGTGGGTACTTCGACTGGTAAGAAGAAGAATAAGAAGCTCGCGATAAGTGCGGGGAGAAAATTTTTTAAGCTTGCCTCGGACAAAGAAGAAGAAGAAGAAGAAGAAGTCGTTGGTTATTGGGAAGCTAGAATCGAAATTCTAGGGCTTTGAATCGGCATCGGGAGAAGAACTTTCTAAGATGTTCGCAGTCCCGTCTGCGTTCGACTGCCGCTGTGCATCTGTGCATCGGCGTGAAGCAGATAAAGTCTGCAAGGATCGTAGCAGCGATGATTTTTCTCGCACTCCCTGGCACAATGGCGTAGCTTTCGTTGACTCGTAGATTAATAGTATTGTAACAATGCCCATTTGTATTATTTGTATTATTGAATGATATTTTAAGCGACTGCAATGGAGCTCGAACTGTAAGCGCTATCGGGAGGTTTCTTGTTGAAATCCATCTTGATTGTATGCGCGCGCACGCACCCACTCGCTCGCGCCCTCCCCGAGCTTGTAAAAGGCCGCGTATATTACGTGTATATATATATATATATATATATACATATGTATGTATGCATGTGTGAATTGGCGTTTGCGCGCGACACGTGTGCGTATGTATTATATTATACTTTATCCTCGTCGATTATTAAAAGTTAATCGCGGATATTTAAATTTGCGGAATTGGACTGGGAAGCTTTGTCGGCTTGATGCTTATTAGATTCGAGCTGTCGATCGCACGTCACTGCGAATCTTTTTTATAATTTTCGCTGATCCTCCCTCCCTAAAGCATTATTTTATTTAATTTTTAAAAATTTCGACGGCGACGAAGTGTAATTAATAAACAAAGGCAAATGATGAAACCGTACTTTTATCATTTTTACGTAAGCTTGAACGCGTGCGCGCGCGCGCACACACATTATAGGCGCACCCATTAAATGCGTGCGCGATGCATAATTATAATTTTTGTACGCACGCATGCGTGAGCGCGCGTGCGCTTAGAATGCCATACGCATAAATGCCTATACATTTGTATATGCGCGCATACGCATGCATAACGCATAATTGGCGCGTAGGTGAAATAATTGAGAGGCAATCGCTAGAAGAAGGGCAATTTGACATTAATATTTACGTATTTGGGCATATTTATTCGGTAAATTTACGCGTCAATTCAATACGTATTTATGTGTGTCGTTATAATTATCTCTTCAAAGGCATTTTTCTCTTTATCGAGGCACTCCAAGGGCACGATATTCATTCGTAGGTGGCGCCCTTTTGCATATCGCGAATATCAAGGAGAAAACTCATGGTCCCGCGAGCGCGAAATAAGTTAAATCGAGAATCGATAAATTAACGAGAACGATAACACGAGGGTTGGGAGGGGGCGGTGGAGGGACTGACACTTAACGAATACGTAAATGATCTAACGGATTTTGTCGGGGATTGTTGTTAATAATAATATAACATTGTCCCGTCCCGTGTACGAGAAAACGAGATAGCCGTACGTTAAAATTGTCATAGCGGCAACGCTGCATTGACTCTCATCGCGATTCCGCCATCTTGGGTGCGGGCAAATCTAACCTCAATAATCGTAAGGTACAGGGGCAACGACAACATCGTCGTAACGTTAAAATAAGCGATCATTTTCATATTTCAGCCTACATGAATCTTTCATCGTGAAAACTAGCGAAAGCGTCAGGGTGAGTATGCGGAGAATAATGGGTGTAATCGATGGTCCGGCAATTAAATTGGCGAAAAGTCTTGGTGGAGAGTTTGACAGTTTGAAACGTTGACGGGTTGACGTGTGTATATAAATTCACCTGTTCGAGAGGCTAATTTATTTTAGTCTCATCGTCGGTCTTGCGAATGTCATGTTCATATTGATTTTTAGATGGCTCTCACCATCGAACAAATCATTCTGGACGCTGGTAAGCTGGTGAATGAGATATCGACGCAGGAGAGCACTGCCGACGGCTTAATATGTAAGATACAATCCGTCTGCAATCAAATAGACAGTATGAAGCAGGTGATTTGTTGTTTTGATTGCTCCAATTATTAATCAGCCCACTTTTACGAAGTTCTCCGCTCGTTTTAATGTCGATTGCATGCCTGGAACTTTTTATTTTATCTAGCTATTTGTTTACTGCGAGTGTGCTAACCAAGAGCGAGGGGTGAATACTTACTTTGTTACTTTGTTGAAGGAAAGCTGTAGCTAGTAGATGAAATTTCAATCGATTAATTGCAATTTATGTTTTATTAAGACTTTTGGTCTTAAGCCTTAAGTTTCCTTTGGCATTGCGTATGTTAGTACGTACGTTTGTCTATTGGTTTTTTAAAGCGATTGATTCGTTAATGTTTCGAGGGTACGTTTTGTAATAATAATAATTGCAGTAATAGTCTGAACATCTTATCTGTGTCCGATACTTGACGATACGTCGTTCTCTGTGCTAATGCTCGCGTTGGAATGTTCGAGTAGCTACTCAAAACTTTGATTGCCCACGATTATTAAGAAACGCATAGTTCAATGTCGAAGGAAGTGAATTCTTACACTTGGCGTTACACTACCTACGCTTAACATTATCGTTAGCATAAATAATTGTCCGTGTAAATACTTATTGATTTTTTGATAGTATCAAGAGGAGTTGAAGAACCTGAATGCTCAAACCAATCAGAAGCCTAAAAGTGAGATTATCGAGCATTTTCAAAAAATAGACGATGGATATTTTAAAGAATTGCGAGCCGAAAATAAAGATTTACGGCTTGCGCTGGAAGACTATCAGAAAGCGCTGGAATTAATAATGTCCAAATACAGGAAGCATACCGCTTACTTTCTCAAACAGTCCAAATCAAATCCATCGGCCACAACGAATACAAATTGCTGTTTGCAATATAATCATTGTAAATGTATTAATGTAAGTAGCTTCACCGTCTTCCATTAACAGCGCATTGATGCCAAATCGCTACTGCTCGCATTAATCTGTACATGCTTTGAAAATTTGTTCTAGACCATAAATACCCAAGCTAAGAAGATCGATGAAATGGCAACGATAATGAGAACAGCCACCCAACTCAACAAAGATAACGAACTGAGATGTCTGGAAACTCTGGTTCGATTAAAGGAAGAAAATACGGGATTACGGGAAATACTAGACATGACCAAGAAATATGGCTACTTAAAAAAGGATACTATTGTAGAAAGTAAAACCGTTCAGACAGACGACTTGTAAAGTATACGCCAGAGTGTCTATAAATATTTTGAAATTTTCATACTTATTAATGATCATTAGTTATCAATAACAAATAAAAACGATGTATAATTTCAGTCTCAATATTTAATATTAAGATATCTTCCAAATAAATCTCTATATTTTATTAAAGTAATGTTGAAACAATAATTACCTGATAAAATCATTATTTGATCAGTTTTATAAATAAAAACACATTTGAAGACGAAGTAAGATATCGCTTAATTTGAAAAGATTTGCCCATTAAAATGCAAATACTTTCTATAATAGTAATTTATGTTGCTAAATGGTCGATCTAATGTTGAAATGAAACTTTGAAACGCTTTTCATTCTTGCCCATTCTTGGTAAGATGGCATTTCTAATTCATTTGGTTAAAGAAATATTTGAAATAAAACTATTTTTCACAAATTATATTTTCATTCATCATCGTTCGCTTACTTTTTACTTTTTGTACGCCAGATAACAGATTCTTGGAAATTACATTATAACCGGTAATAAAAGTTTCACCTTTATTCGTAAGGTATGAATTGAGAAAATTTTTAAAGTGTATATATATTTTCAACGAGTGATATTTGACAATAATATTAAAAATTTTAACTATTTCAGATGTCTGTTGTAAACTATTGTTTAAAAACTGATCGAATTATAATTTTTTGTACAATAGAAGTTTGTATTATTGTTCATTAACGGACAAAGGCTTTGGGGCATGTATTAAGATTAACTAATGAGATTGAAAAAACTTTTTGTTAATACGATCGCTCTAGGATTACCGTTAAAAAAGAAAAAGAAAGAAAAACAATTTTCTTTTCATGTAATTGAACGCTTATATTTTTATCAGTTTAAGTGACTGATTCGAGGAGAAGCGATTTTCAATTTTTTCTAATTTTTTTTTTTTTTTTTTTTTTTTTTTTTTTTTAAATTGTTTTTCTTATTTAATTTTTAATTATACGTGCGTGTTTAAGGCTTAAGACTATAATTAATCTAAAAACATTTACGAACCTTTTAAATATCAGAATTGAAGACCATTCAAGAAATTATACTTTTTCATTTATATTTACATGCTAATTATTTACGCATCAAGTGCCTTTTTTTTTTTTTTTTGTTCTTTTAAACTGTTTCAAAATTTAGAGATTTTTATATACTTACATAATAAGATTTTGCGATTAAGCAATGCGTGATATATGATAGAAATTTTGCCTTAAGTAGAAATTTAATTTAAAAACTTTAAGAACTTTTTTAAAATACTCCATACAATTTATTTACAAATTGTAATTATTATTTAATTTTTAAGTGATTGTGCATAATGATTTTTGAATAAGTTCTTTTAACACATTACTACTAATGCATTCGAAATTGAAGATTCGTATTTCTTGGTTTGTTAATGAAACTGATAAAAAAAAAAAAAAAAAAAAAAAAAAAAAAAAAATCTTATTTATTTTCTAACGTACGCTCTGCTCATATTATAAATATTGTGTTGGGAAGAAAGTATATAATAATGTCAAATAACTCGTTAGTCCACTTAGTAAAATACAGTAATACGTCATAAGCTAATTTAATATATTAAACTTGTTTTTATTTATGCAATAATTAGCTCGAGTATTTTTCCTCTTTTGTATGAAATAACATAGATTTGAAATTATATCGTTGTACGGAAACTTAAAGACAAAGTTTTTTGCAAATAAGTTTTATATATAAATGTATTAAGAAAAAAAAAAAAAAAAAAAAAAAAGAAAAAAAAAACATAAACAAACGAAAAAAGAAAATAAAACGTGCAAGACGTGAACGCATAAGCAGTGTTAATATAATAATAATAAAAAATAGCAAATATCAATCTCTAATTTAAAGTTTATTTTAATTATGCAGTTTATTGAGGGGACGATGCGTTGTAAAAAGTCTGGACGTCGGTCCTTTATCGCTGTAAACCGTTGATAAAGAAGCGCAGGTATGCAAAGTACTCTCTTCGCACATAGATGACACCGCAATAACAATACCTTTAAATAAACATTTACCGCAATTATATAGTCAACCAACTACTAATGCTTCTAGATACACACATACAGTAAAACAAAAAACAAACAAAAAAAATTAAAATATATAAAGTATTTGTAAACTTTTCTAGTATTTGCAAGTCGTTCTTTTTAAATTTATTTCATTATTTCTAAAAGTTTTTAAGTTACCTCAATGAGATTAAATTGTATATAACATGTTTTAATTAATTTTATAAATAAAAGCCAACAACTACAGAAGAAAAAGAAAAATGTAACTGTAAGTCAAGAAACGATTTAACACGCTCATTGGACCTTCTGTTTATTAACATCATTATTAAAGACAAGAAAGTTTACTTTATTTATACAAAGAGTTCGATCAATATAAGAAAATTGTCACAATGACGTACCACCCTGTATATTAATAATAATAATAATTTTTATATGCGAACACACATTGTATAAATCATGCGCAATACCTTCTAAGCCTCGTTCGGTACTCGCCGACCTTCCGTGTATGTATTTATAACAATTAACGTGTCTATTGCTACAATTTATTGTTAAGTGCATGCGCCATTACGGGCGGGAGCCTATCGACAATCGAAAATTCATGGGATTAAAAGGAAATCATGAAAATTCCCCTCCTGCTACGTCTCGCGCCCAACTCATCGGGCCTTCTCGTTTCACCTGCTTGGGCCTTAGAATCTCGGGAGTCGATTGAGGCATAAGGAGCGAGACGAGCGCAGCGCGCACGCCTTAATTAACGCATTCTCTTTATCCCCAGGAGTCGAAGGAAGTCTCGTCGAGGCGCCCCTCGGGTTTCACATTTTTAATGTCTCCGCGTGACGTCAATTCCTGCTTTCGCTCCGTGAGTGGCGAGTAACTTGTAAACTTTTTATCTGAGATTTTGGAGGAGGCGAATAATGCCGAGACTGCAGTTGGAAATTGCTTTACTGGATTTAGCGCGTCGCCAATTGCGATTCGGCCAATAGGTCTAAACTATTCTAACTAGCGATTCATCGATCACGGCGCCAATTATTTCCATTTCTTCGCCAATTGACTCTCTTTACAAAATCGCCCGACACTCGATTAAGCGAAAGATCACATAGAGTTGGAGCACCATCACTATGAAATTTGTTTTCCTTAGTCGAGACTCTCGTAGCCCTCGTTGCGGACTCTTGTCACTCGTCTTGCGTTCTCGTTATCGCGACGAATTGTCCCTGGGGCGTAGGGGCGTAGGGGCAGTAGGAGATCCCCATCACATTTTTCTCCAGATTATATTCCCGTGGCCTACTTTATACGTTGCCGCATCGCATCGACGTACCTTCTGTTCGTTATTTTTTCATATTATTACATTTTATTTTATTTTATTTTTCGATATTGGTTTCTCTGGCTCAAAAGCAGGAGTGATTATTCTTGGATGTCGCCGCATTCGTGGCGACGTAACGGGATCCGTTAGCTCGCACAGTCTATCTTTCTATTTTGCACGCGCAGCGCGTCATCGTACGCCGTGCGCGCCGATCTTTCGCATATCGCGCAATTGGGCCGATTACGATTTCTATGTCGATTATTCGGCCGTAAAAAGGTGTTGGAAGGCATTCGACGGTCCACTACATTCCACAAAACGGCGCTAAAAATGCAGGCGATATTTAGACACGATGCACATGGCTCCAAGGTCCCAGCAAAATTCGCAAGATTTCTGTTCCAGTTAAGACACGCTTTGACAAACAGCGCCAAGGCCATTCCCAAAGACGGCGTGAAAAAATTCATTTTCATCTCTCAATCGACCGACATTTACGTCAACTTGGCCCTAGAACATTGGCTTTATCGTAACAGCGATTTGAGCAAGCAGCACGTTTTACTACTTTGGAGGAGCGATCCTTGCGTCGTCATTGGACGACATCAGAATCCTTGGATCGAATGCAATATCCCAGTCATCGAATCGAGCCAAATTGCCGTGGCTAGGCGTAATAGCGGCGGTGGTGCGGTGTACCACGACATTGGCAATCTCAACCTATCGTTCTTCACGCCGAGAGAGCGTTACGACAGAACGTACAACTTGAACATAATTAAACGAGCTTTATTTCGGGAGTGGAATTTAGAAAGCATTATCAACAAGAAGGATGACATAATTGTCGAGGGAAAATTTAAAGTATCCGGCACAGCTGCTAAATTAGGGCATCCCAACGCCTATCATCATTGTACATTGTTGGTAAATGTCAATAAGGAGACGCTGAGTTTGGCACTCGACAACACTTATGAGGGAATAGCTACAAATGCAACGAAATCCGCTCCATCTCCGATAAGAAATCTAACGGAAATGAACTGCCACGTTGAAATGGATCGGTTATTAAGTGCAATTGGTTGGGAATATCTTCGCGGCGAGACCATGACGTTGCACGACGAACACGGGCAAAAATTCTTGGGGCCGCAACAGCGAGGTTTTCAAATGCTAAATCCCACGGAAGACTGGTTCCCCGGGATTGAAAAAATTCTCGAGGAATTTCGGGGCTGGGATTGGATTTACGGCAAGTCACCGACATTCACTGTCACTCGTATTCTATCTCGTGCACGAGACTCGTTCGTTATTTCGAGGGACGACATTCGTCCCCAAAAACTTGTGATTAGCGTTGAGAAGGGCATTGTGCAAGACGCCACGTTAACTTCATTGCCTTCAAATGTCAGCCAATACGAGAGTCTAATTGCAAATCTAAGTGGTAAGCGCTTTAGTTACGGGCTGGTCAATAATACCGTCAGAGCTCTACGGCCTGTAAACTTTTAAGGTCTCGACGCGGCCATTAATACGGACGACCTTGTCCACGTGTTATCGGTGCTTTTACTATCTTTATGTCCTATTAAACGAGCTTAAATTCACTTAAATTCACTAATAATAGCATTAAAGAGCAAGCACAGCCTTGTATTTTCGTCCAATAATCGTCCGCCTTATTTTCAACGAATGTAACAATCGTTGTCAATTGGGTCCGTGTAACTATGCATTCTGCTGTGGTGTGCGCATCGCATATACTTACTTTTAAGGCCTTTAAATGACAAAATCATGAGATATTTGTTGATAATGTTCGATATTGCGCGTAGGTAAGGCAACAGGATTATAATTACGAAGATTATCGATGGCTTTCTTCAGGCTCCGACAGTGCTCTCTCTCTCTCTCTCTCTCTCTCTCTCTCTCTCTCTCTCTCTCTCAACTATGATACTAATTTATCTATCAAATTACTGTATTTGCATCATTTGCACAAAGCTGTTTCAAATGTGATCTAATATTGTTATTAATCGTTTTGAGGGAGGCGAACAGTTGGCAAAAGCACAAATATCAAGTGATACTTCGGTTAAGCACTAAATAATTGGCTTTTAATCGTATCTTAGCCACTGACAGGAAAAAGCACTGGAATTAAAAAGAATTAGTAGTGGTTAAAAATTTTGGTGTAAATCTCTCTATGTCTCTCTCTCTCTCTCTCTCTCTCTCTCTCTCTCATTTAAAAGCGAAAAAAGAAAATCTTCATTCGGTCGAAAAACTTGGGATTTTTTATTCAAATACTTTCACAAAGATCTTATCACTTGATATCATATAATTGGTAAAAATGAAATATCCTTTATTTTGCCATTATATACTGATAAATTTTCTTCAATTTATTTGTAAAAGCGACTTTTGTCATTCCAACACACAATGTACATACTGAAATAAAGATTTATAATGTTTCAAAGTGATTTTCAATGTTATTTAATTCAACCCGTGCCTCCTGATATACTTGTGTTTTAAATTGTTATTAATGTATTAGCATATTAGCGTATTATCTTAATAAGCTATTTAATTAATTGTATAAAGAATATTTTTATTGCCGATGTACAGCATCTATTTATATATAAATTCAAATAGCTTTCGTATAATCGCATCGCTTACATCCTTATTTTATATTGATCTTTTTTTTTTTTTTTTTTTACGTATGTAGAGAATAGAAGATCGATACTAGATAGCCTAGTGATTTACCATATTCATCCTCATCATCCTCATCATCGTCATTAAGAATGATAAGAATGATCAAGAGAAAAACTTTGACAGACCCTATACTCACTACACTTGCTTAATACTTATTGTTACGTTGGGGTAAGTGGGAACGAGGAGGGGTGGGGTTGCCAGATACGCAATCTGTATGCTGTTGTTCGCGAATTTTTTGCCCATAACACATCTGCCGTCGGACAATATAAAGTGGTGGCGAGCGCTGTCGCGACGCACAATCGCCATCATCGACAATTTAGTATTATCGATAGTCTTTTCCTCATTACGTTATCTTTCATTATCTATGGTGTTTAGCGGCAACTTGTCTCTTGGCTTGCAACTCGACTCACTTGTCTCTCACTGCCCGCTGATAAACATTGTAATTCTTTCATTATTTGCCAAAATTAGCTTTTACGCACAGTCTTGGGCTGGCATTCACTAACTCGTAACTCCAACTCGCCATAACTCATAGTTTGCCATGAGTCGCAAGTGCACGTTTTTGCGTGGGAGTCTGCGCCTCCGATGATCATCATCATATCATTTTGTTGTTCGCTACGAGTTAGTGGACAAGCATAGCGCTGCCAATCATCAAGGCGACGTATGTCGTATCTGCACTTTGCTCCCATCAACGTCCCAGTCAAAAGATAATATATTTAATGGAGTTGCATACCTTGAACTAGCAATACCGAGAGTAAATTGAGTACGTAGGTAGGGGCACGGAGAGAGGGCTGAAATCAGGCCCTAGAGTCCCTTATGTGCGTATGTGTGCGTGTGTGTGGCATATGCGAGGAAAATTACAGTGACGGCAAAGTAGGTGCATAAACATCTCGGAAAGTTCCTCGACGAAATAATAATGATGGATAAACCAACTCCCGAATGATATTTCTTTTTTTTTTTTTTTTTTTTTTTTTTTTTTTTTTTTTTTTTTTTTAATATTTCTAATAAAGGAGAAGTACGAAGAGATTTTATTCAACTCTATCTAATAAAGTTTAACTAATGTACATTATATTCGTAATATTGGACGGTCTATTATCGAATGTAATGTAAATTTGGCATTGAATAAATTAATTTGATTTTTATGATAAAGAAAAAGAGTACCGAGTGCAGCATTCTTTTTTCTTTCATTCTTTCGTAATAAAATTAAATAAAAAAATCCCCTTCCATTTATTTCCCCTCTACTTCGTTCAACTACTCAACTATAAGAATTTTTCACTGGCTTATTCACGATCCTCCCTAAATTTATTATGACAATCTTTACATAAATTGCAATATAAGGATGATAATACTTAGCTGTATTAATGAACTTAATATAACTGAACGAATTAGAAAACATAAACGATTTAACATTGCATTTACAATTAATCTGGTGGCATAATAGAAGAGTTCCCTCGCATGTAATAATCTACACGTGTCGTCGATCGGTGAGATAATCTTGACTATTTGCCAGGCATTTGTTCATCCGTTCATAAATCTGGAAAGATAATTTTGTTTAAAATTTCCAATCCCACATTCCAAGATGTTCTTGTTAATATTGCTTCAAAGCAAATTGCAACGCCATTTTCAATTCACGGCATTATATCGAAGGGAACAAATGATAAATTTCGAATAAATTGATTGAATTGGAAAAACGAATTAGAAAATTTATTAAATTCTTTCAAGATTGGGCAGAATCAAGCGAGGCTTTTGAACATTTAATTAGGTTTGGTAAATTTAAATACAATATTTGATGAAGCTAATAATTTAAAATAAAAATCGATCGGTAAGTATTAATTTTTCAATAAGTCACGTTTAGAATTTCAATTAAATTAAATAATTGCATTTCGAATAGGGAATAATAACGAATAGGGATTAATTTCGTGAACGAGTAAGAAAAGAATTTGAGATATAATATTATAAAGCCTTTCTGAAAATAAATTGACAATTTTTTTCTTTTTCTTTTTTCTGTCCTCCTTTTGTCATTTTACGAAAATTATATTATTTTAGAAATATCCTAAATAATAGATAAATACATTACATGCTGTAATAACTAATTACACGTTATCGTGTGAAAAATAGTCACAAATATGAAAATTCTGACGTACTGAATAACAAACAAAACATAATAAAAATAAAAACAAAAAAAAAAAAATTAAAAACTAATATACATTATTAGGATAGTTTTAATCATAAAATAACGCCAAATGACGAGTATAACATGAAATGATTCTCACAAATTACATTTTGAAACATAACGACATATGAAGATGAAGGGCCACATTTTAATCGTTAAATTAACGAAATTCTGCCTTAATTCGTTAATTAATTAACACGATAAATGATAAAGTTCATAGAGAAACGTACGGGTACAAATATATTAGAAAAATATTTTTAATTACCATTGCAATGTAAATTTTCTTACCAAAGGTCTTAAATTATAATAAACGTGTAAAATTACATTTCACCCAAACGCATATTCGACAGTTAATTACTACAGAGATATATCGACAAAAGCAATTATTAAGATAATATTGAATTTTTAATGATATTTCGTACACATAATTATTTACCAAAGTCTATTATTAAAAGAACGGTATTGAAATAGTTCGTATAACATTCATCTTATAATTTTGGAATTTTATTGACCGAACTACATCAGTGACGCATTATATTACTTTTAACTCAAAATATTTTGAATTATTACGTACTTGATTATATAAAGCCTTAAAGCACAAGGCCAAACTACGGAATACGAAGTTTACAAGAAAAAAGCCGCGTCGAAGATAAAAATTCTTATGGTCAAATAGCTACATGTGATTTTGCAATTATATCATCATACTTTGTATAAATATAGAGGAATTTTAAAAAGAATTTTTCATCCGCATAGTTTTGTATTCATAAAAATAAAAATAAAAAAAATAAATAAATAAAAATAAAAGAAAAATACAAAAAAAAATAAAAAACGAAAAATACAAAATTAAACAAACGGATAAAAGCGAAGAAGAAAAAGTATGAAATTATTAAAAATTGTCTAGAACTTGAATGGCAATGCAATGTTTTTTTTTTTATTCGAGAGCCGATTAGAATTATTAGAATTACTCCTCTGGCCTCTATAAATGGAAACAATACTTTGGCTTAATTAAAACATCAATATTATAGTTAATTAAAAATATTTGAATTCAATTGTTATTTAAGAATTTTACAGATAAATAATTCGATAAATAATTCGAATATATTCGAATACAGGAGCATTAATAAATATAAATATTTTTATGATAATCCGTTAAAAGCGAGCAGGATGTCAATTAGTAGTCAAGTATATCTCACTCATCTACATTTTGCGAGCCTTTTAGTGAATATTAGATTATTAATTCTAATTATAGTAGAGCACTTGTTCTTTAAAATCGTCTGCTTACAACAATAACTTCCATTGTTTCAATTAGATCATTATTTAAATCAAAGCAGAAATTGCTCTTATTGTTCATAGCGAGCCAAGTAATGAAAAGAGCGAGCTTTGATGACTGATCATAATTGCACAGATTATATACGCGTGTGTGCGTGCGCATAAAATTCATTTTCTATTGCAAAGTTTCGCCGCCAATTCGTCTTACCCGTTTACTAAAAATCCTGCACCCCACTACTCGTCCACACTCTACACTTAACAGATCTATCAGGAAGTTTTAATGAATATGCACACAATTACAAAATTCATCGCCGTTCGTATTTTAAATGCACTTAAGGCAAATGATATTCGACAATATTTTCATATATTTTTGCGTTTTCGTTACACGTATATTCATCTACCAGCTAATATGCACACGTTATATTGATTTTATAAAAGAAAATGAGAATATTTTATGTAAATTACACGGTACAAGCAGTGGCCGACAAAAATTCTTCAAATCATTGCGAATAATACAAATTTTCATTGGCTACGGCATACGTAACAAAAGGGATGGATCGTTTAAGAATAGGGAAATGTTTGGATTTATTTTTAATCGAATGTGTATGCTCGATCGAGCATCGGTGATGCGTAAGGTTTTTGAAAAATATTTCTATCAAATGTATCATCATTGTAATTTGCCAATGGCCAATAATATCTTTAAATTAAATATATTATATAATATTTGGTGCTTGAGTGTTATTATTCTGGGAATTAGCTAATAATGAGCTATGCAGTTCCGAAAATAAATGTACACAATCTATTGATTATTGATATTAAATTAATAATTAAATAATAACGCGATCATTTTTAAATAATTTTTATAAGCTTTAAAATAAAATTCATTCTGCTTAATCATTAAAATATACGTGTTTATATATATATATATATATATATTTTTTTTTTGTTGTTTTTTTTTTTTTTTGTAAATTGCAAATGTTTTTAAGAATATGTTAATAAAATAAAAGCTAAATATGTTTTTATTTGTTCTGTTTGATAAGATATCGGAATCTAATACTAGATTAATTAGTTTCTAAGTGATTGTGTTTCACTCGCAAGATAATGAGCCCGTGAATTTGAATTTCGATAAAATAACTTGTATTTATAATGTTTTTTTTTTGTTTTTGTTTTGTTTTTATTGATCTAAAAAATTAATGAAATTAATTTTCTTGGAATTTCATTATGACAATGTTTGACGAGGGCATCAGTTACAAGATGATATGCGTGATGGAAGTAGGACATTTTTCTAGATAAAATTTATTTCTGATGTACTTCAATATATATGTAAACTACTCTACTAACAATAATATAGCATAAATGCATATTGGCCCTTTTCCAACAGATTATGACAAAAATTTTATTCTTATGTTCATAACTCTGCAAATAATTATACAAAGGGTACATCGTTAATCGTATCCGATACATTGAAATCTACTCTTTAGCGACGAAGCAATGCAGCTTTATACGTTTCTTTACAAAGCAAACAAATTTAAGACGATTTCAAAAAAAAAAAAAAAAAAAAAAAAAAAAGCGCGCATTCGTTCATTAGGTTTCAGCCATCTACATTCACACCTGCTAAATCAGCTGAATTATGTATAACACAAAGTATTTATCGCTATAGTCAGATAAACGATATTTATATATATATATATATTAATACAACCTAAATATGGAAGATAAGATTAATTTAGTTTGAAATAATCAATCGAATAGTATTTCCATGTTGTTCTGATTTTATAATTTTAATTAATTTAATGATTTGTGCATGTTGTGAAAAGAAGAAATAAAGAAGAAATAATGCAAAGAGAGGATGAACGAAAATTTGAAAATACAGCTAAAGTTCAGACGATTAAGACTGATGATAATTTATTATTTACATTCTGTATGAATATGAAGATGAGTTAGAGCAAAAAAAAAAAAATAAAAAATAGCAGTAAAAAGAATATGACGAATGTCCTTAAAAACTTCTTATTATTTTCGTTTTTGTTTTTTTGTTTTTTTTGTTATTGTTTTTGTTTTTAGATGTGAGAGTAGACGACATCGCGGCGTCTTCATCTCTCGAGATGAAGAGCTCGAGACTTCTGACTGATGAACTGAAAGTGATAAATCAGTGATGAAATTTCTAATCCCGTAACATTGATTCCTATATTATCAATCAGACTGTCAAAGTTCAATCGCCGCTCATTAGTTAAATGGAGAGTCGAAGCGAAAAAGTATTTTGTTTGAAAATTCGGGTAATCCGAGCGTAATTAAAGGCAGCAAAAATGATGTTGCAAAGTTAAGATGAGTTCAATTGAATCAACTGTCGCTTTTGATTCATGAAAGATTAAAAATACAAAAACAAAAAAACAATAAACACAATGAGCACTGATTAAAAGGAAAAGAAAAATGACAAAGTGAAAAGGAGAAATATTGGAAACTACACGTCGGAGAGAAACGAGTGATTAAATAAACAGGAACATTGATTTACCTACGAAACGGTAAGCCCTAACTAACAATAAATCATTCCATCGTCACTATTATGTAGTAAAAAATAATTTAGCTAAAAGGTGGCGAAAAAAAAAGAAGCAACAATGTATGGACGATCGACGAGAAAATACAGAAATTCAAGGCAGCGGAACACTAAGATCGAGCAGGCATTGGTTGCTTTCGACAATGTGCTCGTTGAAGATTATTGGCTTATAGATCGGTGCTTCGGATTATATGACGCATCATCGGTGCGATTGCTTTTATAAATTCGAAGAATTCAAGGTTGCGATATATATTACGTGGCGCAAAGATGATGAGCAAATCAGCCGTAATGATTTTATAAATCTCGAAATTGAAATATCGATCGCTGATAATTGAAATCCTGGTACTACGCGCGATGTTTTATGTACAATACGTAGCTGTATAAATGAAAGATTTTTTTTATTGGTAAAAGTTATTGTTTGTGCAAAATTACGTTTTTTATACAATGAATATCTAATATCATGATAATTTATGCGTTTGGTGTAAGCGCGGTAAGTCAAGCAGTAATATATTTATAATAAAATAGAGCGTTCAAATCTTATTGCAAATGTTGATTAGGCAGGCGTTATTATGTTACAAAAAAAATAAAAAAAAAAAAAAAAAAAAAAAAAAAAAAAATTAAATAACAATTAGCCTGGGATGTTTTGTAACGATATGAAAAATTCAAATTAATACAAATGTCAGGACAATTTATAAGGATTTTGTATTGTATTTATTGTATGGTGTATGTATGTTAATAGAAATTTAAGAAAGAATTTCATCTGATTAGAGATTAAATAAGTTCAGTAAGTGTTGTGCAAAGAAACGAGTGACTTTATAGTAAAACCGGTAGGTATGAGTTTTTTTTCTTCTTTTCTTCTTCTTCTTCTTTTTGTTTTTTGTTTTTTTTTGTTTTTTGTTTTTTGTTTTGTTTTTTGTTTCATTTCAATCAAATCTTCATGAATCTTCGCAGACGTCGTAAATGCAATGAACCGAATGAAAATAGTTAATAAACTACGTTATTACGCGTGGCTCGATGATTACGAATACAAAATTATAAGACCAATTTCAAGAATTTTTTCGCGCTCTTAATGAAAATTAAGAGAAGAAAACTTAATAAAAATCTGTTAAAGTAGAGATTTTTGTTGGTCTAATTGAAGATTGTAAAGCCATTGCCTTTACACTCCCGACTACATTTAAGATGTTAATTCACGGATTAATGCAGTTTAGAAGAAGAAGAAGAAGAAGAAAAAACAAAGAAAGAAAGAAAGAAAGAAAATTTTTCAATTGAAATATATAGAGTTAAAAAAAAAAAAAGAATGATTTTTTTTAGAATTCTGATGAGGATTTAGGATAAGATACGGATGAACAATTGGGATGAAAAGCAACCATCTTCGTATAAAGAGAAACAAAAAGAAAACTTTTAAATAGACGACAATTAAGGGAAACCAGCTTGCTTTTACGTATTACGTGGCAACGATATCTCGCATAAATTATGTGGAAAAATTAATGAATTTTATGGTAGAATAAAAAACAAATAATAAAAAAAAAAAAAAAAAAAAAAAAAAAAAAAAAAAAAAAAAAAAAAAAAAAAAAAAAAAAAAACAAGTGAGACCAATACAAGCGTTGCATGATAAATAAAATGTTTGAATTAGTTAAGAGGCCAAGAAAGGTTTTAACACCTGTTGAATTGGCTAAAAACTTAAATAATGACATAGCGAGATATAAAACGAGTAGTTGTAACAAAAAAAAAAAAAAAAAAAAAGAAGATATTAGCAAACAGAGAAGATTGATTACGAGAATGTCAAATGTAGTAATAAGTTTTTTTTTTTTCTTTTTCTTTTTTTTTTTTTTAGCTACCGTAAGAACGACGCCGAGCACTCTGGCTAATGAAATTTTGACATTTGCATTATTTGAGGCTAAACAACAAAAGCTCATTTTCAAAACAGTTTCCTCGTCCAATTACTTTAACAATTCTAATTAATCTTATAAAACTGAAAAATTTGCCTATTTATAATAAGATTTATTTATAATAAGTTTCAAAATTTTTGGAAAATGACTGTTGCTTTTGAAGAAAATTCTGCGATTTTGTAGTTTAGCGTCGTTGATTATAATGGAAAGATGTCTTTGCTTACTTACGCAAATAATTCACAAATAAGTGTTTATCCAAGTTGAATAAATAATGTGAAACGCCTGAGTTGCGAGAGTTACAAGGAGTCTCATTGTCAACTGTGTATCAACGATTATAAAAGTACAAGAATTTTGTCTTTACAAGTTTGGAAGAAAAATCCAGCCAAACGTATGGTAAAAACAGGTCATTTTATCGAGCCGATTATTCGTAGACAAACATTATCTATTTAAAATAAAAGACGTTGGGATGAGTTGGTTCTTTTATTATTCGTATTATTTTTTTTTTTTTTTTTTTTTTTTTTTTTTTTTTTTCCGATAAATTGCAACGCACAGCACAGAAAAACGCCAGGCAGTTTAATATTTGTCCAAGTAGTTAGTCAACCAAATATTAGTTTTGCCGTGAGCTTCGTATCGAGAAAATAAAAAGTCAAGTAATTAATATTTACAGCTTGCAACGCCCATACTCCTCTCCGCTTACCCCCTCCCTCCTCCCTATCCCCACCACCTACCCACACTAGCCAAATAATAGAATTGATATTGGGCCACGACTTTACAGTAATACAAATAACTTTCGAGCGTACAACCCTGGGATACCAAAACGAGTCGAAATATCATTTATAAATAGACGAGCGTGCCGATTGTGCGACAAAGTCCGTTGCAACGATGTATAGAGCACTGACTGGCACTAAAACTAATTATACAAGCGTAGCGCCGCGGTTGGAGGAACCACATTTGCCTTACCAATGCTTTTTATAATATTTATAATCTTTGCACAATGATAATTGCGCTCGAGCCAAGTACAATATGAGGCTTTAAAGATGCCGATAACCGTCTTAATTTTAAATAATAATTATCCGGACGGAAGGTATAACCCATTGACAGCTCCCCCCTGTTATACCACATCGTGGTTGTGTGGGGTTTGTGAGGGGTTTGTGATGGTTTATGAGTGGGGGAGGGGGGGGGGGAGAGACGTTATCGTACCATACCCGACAGCTCCTGCATTTACGGCCAATTTTCGAAGTACGTGCCCGTGCAAAGGCTCATCCCCGTACTCCGGGGGTAAAGTCGAGCGCGTCGGAACGACGGAGCCGTAGCTGTGGCACGAGGATGTCGACGACGACAAACCGCCGGGAGACGACGAGTCGACGAAAGCCGTAACTAAAACCGGCAGTTTCGAGCCGACAAACGCACTTGGCAACTCCATCGGAAAAGCCATTGCTCCGACCGTTTGTCTCCTCGCGTCACGTTCGCTTTTTCAATGAGCTTTTCCTACGAAGCGCTTGCAATTCGAGCGAGCTTTATTAGCATTAGAAGCAACCGCCTGATTGCCCAAGTATTTACGTAAGCTTTGATCGGGGCTGATGTTCGATTAGGTGCTTTATTTGGCAAGAGAAGTCCGTCGCAGGAAAGTAGGATCAAATGGCGAATGAGCGATGTTTTATTTTACTTGAGAATTTTAATGTTGGTAATTAAAAACTTGTCCGTGGAAAGATCCGAGAGAAGATGCGTACATATAGAAGTTGTCGAGGGCATTTCTTAACTGCTAAATTGCATTGCCACTTGGGCTTATATATATATAGATAGATAGATAGATATACATGTAAGTACGTGTGATATACATGTATGTACGAGGAAGAGCTTGTGTATATAATATATACGTCTGTCTCTGTAGTGTCGAATGATGGAAGAGTGATAAGCGCGCGGGTTCGTTTTGTCGTAATTTTATAGCGTTTATCAGTGATAAACTCTCGAAATTAATGTCTGCCGTGACCCGTTAATTTGGAGCGTTTTACAAGTAAAAGTAGAAAAAAGTTACATACGAATATGTAACGAGCACTGCTCGCCAATTGTTGGATTGATTAGATAGAGAGGGATATGCTCTTGGACATAAAAAGCATCGCATTCACTATGGATGAGGACGATAATGCTTATTACGTGTAGATAAAAGATTTTTCTAAAAACTTGCTGAAAGTGTAATCAATAGCATTGACAGCGCATTTAAATTAACGAGTTCGACGTTAATAGCGATTGTCGAGGGCCAAAGTCAATTTTGTCATTTTCAATATCAGACTTTCAATATCAACTCTATAAGAAATTCACAAACTTTTTCGCTTTTAATAAACACTTTTATTAATTGGAATATTTGTATGTTCAGTGGATATCGAATAATTCCGACATTGGTAGGTGATTTAAACTCATTGTCCTATTGATTAATTGTTTCGGTTTAAAAAAAAAAAAAAAAAAACAATACAAAAAACTTTAAATACTTTTAATCTTTAATAAGTTATCGTTAATTGAAATAAATTAAATTTCCCATTCGATGATCACGAATTGAACTTTTTTTTATTCTGTAGAGCAACGTTATTATTATTATTATTATTATTATTATTATTATTATTATTATTATTATTATTATTATTATTATTATTATTATTATTATTACTATTATTCGAGGTTAATTTTTAGTTAATCAATTTGA